TTCCTGGTATACGGTCTTATCACTTATTATTTTAGTAGATAAATAATAATAAATGCCGGTTAACTGTTTCTGAAAACATGTTATTGGTTAATTGTTAATTTTGGTTTTCCATTATCCAACATCGAATACAAATTATTAATTATTATTCATTGAACGTTTATCCACAGAATACGTTTTAAGTGAGTTGAGGGCAGTTGTCCGAAAAATGATAAAGACTGGAATCGAAAGACGGCAGCATAAAATGTATTGCCAACATAAAATTTCTAAAAATTATATTATAAAATTATTTTTTTGTTTAAGAAGTTGACTGTTGCATTTGAATGATAATTATTATATTCTTCGATAATAATTATATTCAATTTAAATAATACTTCGGTTCACATTTTATGACCAACCAATCCCTGTGTATTTAGCATAGACATATAAAGACACAAATATAAAATATTTTAGTGTCTAATTTAATATCTGGAATTTCCTATTTAAAGATGAAATTAATTTAAATTAATTTATTTAAATTTAAATAATGTTAAGCATTTTTTTTTACATGAGTTTTAGTACCTACTTATTTATATGCTAATTTTTAATTATTGTGTTAATTAGTTACATATAAAATAAACAGGTATCAATTACATGAAATAATTTATAATAATATATTTAAATAATACATTTTTAAATACTTATTTTTCAGTGCACACCTAAAACTAAAACGTATTATTTTATACTATTTACATACTAGCACATAGAAAATTAAAAAATGTATGAAAAATCATATATATTTTAAGAAAGGTTTACATACAATTAAACATTAAACTAGATATTTATAAACATACATGATATATTACATAGATTTATAACATGGATATTAAAAATAATTGCGAGATCAGAAAAGCATTACTTTTCACTAATTATATTGGTTACTAAAATAATACAAGTTAAAGTTGTAACCAGAAACATATCCATGATTTAATGTTATACATAATTATATGTTACCATAGTTTAAAATTTGGTCCATTTTTGTAGAAATTAAATATAAATAAATAAAAAGTAAAAGTTATCAAAATTTTTGTTAAAATCAGTATAACCTATTTGTATTTTTCCCGCTTTGAAAATCGGGGCACATTGTATAACTTTTATCATAATATAACTTTTATCAATATAAATTATATAATTGCAATAGTTAATTTTCGATTTAGTCAGTTGGTACTGCTTTTTCAAATTTCGGACCTTATCGTTTCTTATCATTTTTCGGACAACTGCCAAACACTCGTTTTAAGTAAATACTAAATTATGTGTATTATTTAAAATATAAATTTAAGGTTTAAACCAATTATTTCAATGCATATTGTATTGTTTGATAGTATTTTAATGTTGTATTTTGATTAAAATATTTTAATTTAATTAAAAATATACTTTTATCCAATCAGCAATATATATATAATCATGTGTATGGCAATTAGATATCATATTTTGCCGACAACTTTTTTTATTAATTTATTGATAAGTTCAATTTAAAATTAATAAATTAGAATTTTTTTTTTTTTTATTATTATATGATTTATGTATAATATTATTGGCAAATAATAACCATGATTCAAATATTTTAATTTTATTTCAGTGGCAATTCATATTATTGGTGTAATTAATCAAAAATAACAGTGAACTATACGACTAGACAGCCCAATTTGACCAGCAATTAATGCAAATCCATATTGCTTTCTATTGGTACCAATCTGATGACTGTAAATTAATAAATAAAATAAAATTGGAATAAAGGAATATAATATACATATTACATATGTATATCTATATTATATTATATTTTAATCTTTCAACAAACTAATCAATTATGTAAGTACACTTTTTTTTTTTATAAATAATAACCAGGGTTAAGATATTTTAATTTTATTTTAATGTCACTTAATTTGTGTAATCAAAATAACTTACCTATTCTATTATTTTTTTTTTAATATACATACATTGATTTGTAATTATTTGTTTTCAATGAAAAAAAAACCTTAAATGGGAGGGCATTATAAAAATGTATAGTTAAAAAAAAATAAATGTGTGAATAGACCTTTAACTGCTTTAGTCTGAGCTCTATACCCCGAATTCGAGTACATACTATGTAAAATACATTTTTAATTGCATATTTATGAATTATTTTTCTAAATGTATAGGAATTATTGATTTACTTTGTTTTAAAATGAAAAAATGTTTTCTGTTTAATATAATAATTTACTATAGCAATTAAGATACACCATATTGTTTTAAAAATAAATATTTATTTTGTAATTTATTAGTTATAACTCATATCTAGTATAGAAATGTAAATAGAAATACATGTGTATTTGTATGATTAACAACTAATAAACGCTTAAATAAATTAACAAATCATACAACATATCTTCTTGAATATAAAACAAAAAGCATAATAATGTATAAACTATAAAGTATTGGTTTTTCCAAATTGACAATTTTTTATATACTATTATTTATCTATCTTGTTAGGTATTTAAGAGTTATTATCGATTATGACCGTTATGGGTATTGTTAAACAAAGGTATCATTCCGTTTTGACTTCTGGTTTTTACTGTTGGGTTTGATACATTGCTCAGTAGCAGTAAATTGAACGAATATTTAAACGGTAATAAATCGCAAACGGATTACTGAAATTAAATTCTGTAAACTTTAAAATTATTTTTTTTTGAGTATGTTTAAACATTTTCGCTATTTAAAATAGCTATTGCCATTCGAAAATCAGAAGTTGATAGTGTTTTATAAAATAAGGGAGGAAGTTAAAATTAACAAAATTGTCCGAAACTCTGACTCGGAGATCAGCTAAGTTCATCGTAACACATGTTTATAAGTTGAGCGATTATCACTGTAAAAGCGTATACGTGGTATAAAAAATTTATTTGAAGGATTAATCGGAAACGTTTGAGCTAGTATGGTCCAAGACCGTGTTGGTGTGAAGTGTTAATATCGTGTATTAGTAGATTTACTCATTAACCTAGATTCTTAGTAAAATATTAAAATGTAATACCGATAACATTACTATGTAAGTGTCAAGGAAAACTAATAATGGAAGCACGTTTTTACTGTACTATGGTATTCTGATGCACTATTACGAATGATAGACTATTTAATGCCGATTTAATATGTAAAAGGTTAAGAATCATAAAATTTGAAAAATAATTTTGTTTTTTATCCATTGCCATCATTGTCTTATTAATACTTTTTGTACTTTGAGCGAAATAAGCGCTACTAGCAAGAACACAGGATATAATATATACCTACCTATTACCTGACGTTGCCGACACGTAATAAAATTAATAAGAAATAATCAAAAAATTACATATTTTCAATATATGATATTGTATTATATAATAAATTATATTTAAATATCATATATTTTATCGAATAGTATCGATAATTTATAAGTTTATTATTATTTCTATAACCTCTAAAGCCGTTTTATGACCTAACTACTAGAAATGTGTTAAAAAAAAAAAAACATATAAAAAACCACGAACGACGAATTATTTTAAAAACTCACAAAAGCGTTCATTAAATATACGAAGTACACAAATTATTATAATTTTGATTCGTTTGTATAGATTTTTATCTAGATTAATCCATATTTAAATTATATTTTAAACAAAATACTGGAAACATAATACACAAAAATAATTCGTTATGAGTATAGATAATAAATAATTTTATGACATGATATTTATAAAGATTTATAGTTAAATAAATTATAACGATGTTCGCACGATCGAATATCGGTTTATTTTTCTTGATGAACGCGTGCAAGGATGAATATTCCGAATTAATGGAATATAAATTTTACAAATACACGTGGCTATACACGTTAACGTTATATTAGCGTAAATACTTTAGAAACCAATATATAGTGTAAGTGCAAAATTCTGCTTTCAAGTGAAATAATATACTATTGTGCAAAACAGATATTGAGGTTTTTAAAAACAACAGAATACTCGTATTGTTGTTTTCATTGATCATCTACATTCAACTATCTTATATTTTTTAAAATACAACAATATTGAAAAGATCTTGTGAAATCTATTTTGCATATTATGATTTTTGTTGTATTCTTAATATATGTGAGCTAATGTTGTTTTCTGTGTAAAGACTTTCCACAAAATATAAATATACTGTTTCAGTTTTGCATGATGATACATTTTACTGTATACCGAATGATATTTATATACGATTTTAGGAAATGTGGCTCACCATAAATTAAAATAATATTTTCATATACATACTCGTATTATGTATGTGTAAGAAATAACTCGTTGGATAGATCTTCATAAGATTTTTAATATTTCTATTCCATTAAGTCTATTAACTTATATTGTCTAATCGGAAAGTTTTCGAATAAAAATTAAATGTTGATATAATTATGCTCAATCATTAGTTTTTTCGTCTTACACGATTAAAAATAAAATTAATAAATATACTCTGCGTATAATAACATCATAATGAGATTATATAATTATAATAATATTATATTTATAATAATAAATAATAATGAGATTATTCAGTACCAAAAATTAATCAAAGTCATCGACATTAATACAATAATAACAACACAATGTTATAAGCTTTTAATATCGTTGCATTTACTAATTAGGTATTAAAATTGGTAAAAATAAAAATTTCATCTTGTGTGCGATATAATTTTTGTGTATAATTCACTCGAATTTATAGGCTATGAAATATTTTACTCATGATAATTAATAGAATATAGCCTGTTATTCGGACTCGGTAATAATTATGCGTTTAACGTATCAAATCGTTTCTACGGAAATGTTAGTCAATTTAATTAGATTAAATTTATCAGGATTATAAATATTCAGATAAAAGATCATAAATTTTTTGATTGTTGTTTAAAAAATAAAATAAACTATCACCGTAATTACAATTTTAATATTTAGTAAAAAACTATACTATCTAATTATAGTTATTGGACTTACTTTATTTGTTGGACTCTAAAACTGCTCTCCTTTTTAGCTTGTCACAATTCTTATTAAACCATTTAACGATGAATTAATATGATACCACCTCATTTCACGATTCTTCGCCTACAGCAAACAACGTGCAAATGGTTTTTCAACTCTTGCAAACGTAGGTAGACGAAACATATTCAGTTTGTTGGTTAGCATCTGTGCTTACGTAACGAGTCGTTTCTCCCACTTGAATGATTTAAAAAATAATCCTCCGTCGTCCTTCCAACTTTGTTTAGTCGTACTTACATTTTTAGAATCATGCACAGGTTAGGTTACGCATACCTATATATCAACCGATACGCGTATATTTAAAACGAGCCAACAAAACCTGTAGAATAGCCATAATTTGTATTAACAATTATTTTTCTGTGCAGTTACATTCAACTCGTGTTAAACAGCTAATATTTTTTTGTATTACTATTAGCTTTATTGAATTTCATATTTATCCACATTAATATTATTTGTACAAGAAATCGAAAGCCAGTAGGCCGGTCGTTAAAATAAATTAATGAAAATTATGATTTCTTGATTTTTGGGAAGTACATATATGCATAGTCGAATTCACTTTCAACACAAATATCAAGTCATCTAACTCGAAAGAACCAACTTTACCACAATGCTCATAATATACAGAACAGTATGGTAATTTAAAAAAAAAGAAGCCGCTTTCATTATTAATTTATGATAAATTTATGTTCGATCGATAAGGTTTTTACAAAAAAAATGCGGTTACATAATGTATAGGTATGTAAAAAAAAAGACTGAACCACCTGAATACAAAAGAAAAGATAATCGTGTGAAACATTCGTAAAACAAACGCGTAAGTTGTTTTCCACTATCAGAACGCAGTCATATTTATTGTTATTGTTTTAAGTTTTAATATATCTCTATAGTAAAAGAGATACATATTAAATAATAAAAAATAAATATAAATTAAAAATTCGTAAATGGTTAATATTCGTAAATTAATATATAAATAAATAAACAAATAGTTTATATGTAGTAATAAATAAATAAATAAATTCTTTGCCTAGATTCAACATATCCGGTGTATACATATTGATATATTTTATTTTATAGACTTTGTATACACTTGATGATGATTTTTTTAATTCGAAACCGATCATATTTTATATATATAATACTTTAGGTTAAGTATTTATAAGTATTTATTTAGTTCTATATACAAATTATTTGTTTATTTATTTATATAAAAATACAATAACAATTTTCGCGATGATATTATGATATTACGAGTTGATTAATTAAAAGCTGCTGTAGCCGATCGAATAGCGATAATTAATTAGCAATAATTACTCAGAGACGAGAACGCTGAGAGTACTTATAACTCTAAAGTTAGTCACTGAATGTTTGTAAGTATCGACTACACCCGCGCAGGAGTTGCATATTTGAATCTTGACTGGATTCCGATGGGTGTCGGAAGTATTATATAGTATACAAGTATTCTTGTATCTTTGTACTACCGGTATCGAATGGTGATGCTGCATCCGGGGGAGATTTCGAAAACGTGAAACCAGTTTCGAATTACGGTGAATACGTGGTACATTATCCTTAAGGAGGGAGATAGAAAGAGAGAGAGAGAGAGAAAGAGAGAGAGAGAGAGAGAGAGTGAGAGAGAAGAGGGAGATACTTTGAAAGTTCCGAGATTGGAAGTCGTCGGAGAAGGGAGACGATATTTTCATTGTAAATGATCGATAACGGTAGAAATGGAAATAAATTCTTACGTCATCGCGTCGACGACGGTCTCGCGTATGTGAGATACATGTGCACTCGTACGTTTTGCATAATTACACGATTTACACCGGCGTTGTAGTACATATAAGATCGCGGCGCGGAGAAAGTGTAAAATTCCTTCCGGATCTTCTGAAAATACACGTGCTCGACATATTACGACTTCGGTGTTATTACTACTACAACAACAACTACTATTACTACTACTACTACTACTACTACTACTACTAATATTATTACTATTATTGCTGTAGCTGTCTCGGAGACTTGAGCGACGGTCGCACGGTTAGTCTCGTCTCCGTCGTCCGATCGTCATGAGCGTAAACGCCGTACCGATGGCCGACAGGCCTTTTTGGACGGGCAGCTGCGACTGCGACGAGCACAACGACATGGACGTGTTCGCATTCGTGTTTTTCGCTTGTTGCCTCGAACTATTTTTGTACAAGTTTTTCTCCATTGAATCCCGACCGCATTACTAGGCGATCCTCTTAGTGTTCATTACGTGTACATACATAAGTTCGTTGTTCGCTGTTGTGTTATAACAATCATAGAATATATAACGAACCGTAGTAGTATTGCAACCGTGCGCGCGACGCCAACCATGCGGCTGTGAGTGTTTGTGACGCGCGACGCGTGCCGTTCGACAACGAGTCCTGCAGTGATGTTTATTTTATTTCCGTTTTTTTTTTCGTTTTTTTCAGAAACAAACTGCTGTACATCCAACAGCGGGATATTTTGAATAATAGATTAAAAGTGAAAGTGGCGTCCAAGGCGGAAGATGACCGTAAGTACCCGCAGCACGTGTTTATTTAAATAAATAATTTAGCCATTTCATTTATGCTTTTGCTCAAAATACCATATTGTTACGACATACAACTCGAAGTTACTCGTCGTTTTTTATGTTAAGCTCATGTTTTCTCGTCGTAACTTATATATAGAATTAATCACAGCGACTTGATATTTTCTCTGAACGCTAAAATTGCCATTTTATCGATGGTATCATTTTTAAAAGAGCACGACATTTTTTTATTTATTAATTTTTTTTTTCTTTTTTTGCTAAATATAGATATTTGAAGTACTCAAGTTTTCTTAGTTTTTTTTCGCAAATTGTTGGTAAAAGCTTTTTAAGTTCAACCAAAAATCTTGAATGTTTTATACAAATTTCCTCTTACATTTAATATAATTTTATAAAAAAAATCAAAAATCTTTAGTCTCAATTTTTTTTTATAAACCTTTGAATTTCAAATGTTAACAAAACTCAACCAAAATCACGAAAACCTGCATCACTTTCGTAGTTACAAAATCAAAATTATTTAAATTTTAACACTCAATGAATGTTCTAAACATAAAAATTTGACGAAATTCGTTAAACTATCAAAGTATTCTTATACATTTTGAATAAACAATATTAGATAATTCGTTGTCTAAAATATTGACTGTAGAAACTTGAAATAATAATGTAATATTTATATTATTATTAAATACGTGTTGTCATCATAAGTTAGGTTAGAAAAGAGGGTGTTAGGGGTGCCCGGAAATCCCTTGAAATATAATAAATAGGGCTCTAAAATTTAAATCTAAGGGTAAAGGGGCCGTATTTTAACGAATGTTGATCAAATTAAATGTAATTTATTATAAAATATTTTGTAAGAAATAAATAATGATTCGTAATAGAAAAAATAAAACTCAATTTTCTAAATGTTCGTGTAAAAACTTATTGTGTTAAAATAAAAACTACAATTGACTGCAAAATCACAAATCATAAATAATTGATAAATGAACGGAAAACATTTTTATTGGGATTAATATACCAAAATATTAAATAAAAAACCAAAGTTGTTTATTTAATTATTTATGAATTATAGTACATTAATTATACTTATACGTTTTGTTAATATAGTACTGTAATAAGCCCTTTGAGTGTACGACAGGGACCAAAAGTATTGTAAGCAACCCCTGAAATACTGGTATGTGTACTAGTATGGTTGTAGTTATAATTCGCACTGTTATTATAAAATTAATTTAAAAAACATTTAAAAGTTATAGACGACTTTTTAATTTGCTATTGTTGAAATCTGTTTAACCAACTTAATGATTGTTAATATTTGATTGTTCGAGATAATGTTGCATTCCGTTTGAATAGTACATCGCTGAATAATTATGCCGTTCACGTTTGGCCACGAACAAACAAATATAATACTATTACGATAGGTACCTTCGCAGTTTCTATTTTCATTTCGTTTTATAGAAGAGAAGTTTTTTGAAGTCCGCGATCATCTGGAACGGCTAGTGGAAGGGCTGGTGGACGGTTGTCTGGACGATGTATGCCTCACACCCCTGTCCACCCACCCACAATGTAAGTATAATTACACATCCAACACCGATTGTTCCGCGTACGAACTACGTTGATATGTATTTTATCTCTTTCCGCACAGACATGTCGATATGTTGGAAGTACCACGAACAACTGGCCACGACGCTGACGGCAGCCATACACTCCATCATAAACGGTTGGTATATATTGAACACACACACAAACACATATATTTATACTGCGCATCGTATCACGGATCGTTAAGATCTATTAAAATCGTATTTACTACATTGAAAAGTGACAAAAATTAACAGTTATATTTCAATCCAAACATTTTGACTTGCACGTGTACTACATTTTATTTTGTGTTCGGTCACTGCGTTGTTGCATCGAGAAAAATAAAAAATATTAATTCGAAAAAATGTTTCGAACGAATTTGCGGCTGGTGACCAGCCCCATATAGGTTATAGGTGCTGTGATGTATAAATCTGGATTAAATTTAATGTCGAGCAGGAATGATATTTGTTTAAAATTATACTCAACCGATCTAAAGAAAAATGTATCGTGTTGTTCAAACGTGGTGTAGTCATGTAGTTGTTGATATGTAACGGATGCAGTAATTAATAATTCGTTATGTTATTTTACTGATGTGAAAATTATTCCAATATTATTATGTGAAGTAAATGTCTATAAAAAATGAATAAATAGTTTGGGCTACACCACGAATTAATTACTAATTAACTGTACTAAAATAAAGTATAAAACAAAGCAAAAATTGACAATGTAGTATGGAATCAATGTTTTTTTTTTAATTTCCATCAAAAATTATATTAGTTTATAAGTAACCAGTTCGTGCAATCGAACAGCTTTACTTATTTTACTAGCTAGTGATAGTAGTAGGCTATAAAAATTAATATGACAATTAATTGTGGTATGAACATTGTTGTGACAATGAATAGTTTTTATCGACCGTCAAACCGTGACCAATGCTCAAACTGTAGGATATTCATAAGACCCAGTTGTACGAGTATCAATACGAAAATATAAAAAAGTAAAATACAAATAAATACAATTCAACAGGAACCGAAAACAGATTCTTTACTTTTTATCACATAGAGAAACATTTCATCATACATTTGATTGATATTTCAAAGTTGTACTGAAGTATCAATTAAATTTATTACTCGATTTTTATTGTAACACGCATGAATTAATAAATTAACAATTGTTAATTGCTCAAACGATATTGTCCTTGACCATACGATTTTTTTATAAGCATTTTAATTTTTTTGGAAAACCGTTTAAATTCAATTTTATTGCAGATATAATTTTTAACGGAAAATCAATACTTATAATGGTTAAAATATTTTCAACAATTAATTTATATGATTATTTTGTGTATTAAAAATTAAATGTACTATTTGTACTACTCGTATTTACAACATTGTTTCCGTCGTCTCATTATCGCTTTTATTTATTTTATTCGTTAAATCAACGGTTGATAATATTCAACGGTTGATAATATATTAGTAACATATATTTAATGAACATTTGGACATCCAGTGCAATTTGTTTAATATTTTGTATCATATTGTAGATGTATAGGGTTTAGATTGTAGGTATATTTTTCCAATTACATTAATATTTTTTTGTAATAATATTTTATTTGTATTTAATTTTTAGAATCCGACGAATTCAATGATATTCCTATGAAGTTAAATAACATTTTAAAAGAAGTGTCGAACGACGTAGAACATCTTCCAGAACTACTAGTCAGTATTGCTAATTTTAATATAATATTATTATACTATTATAGTTATTATATATATTGTTCTTAGACAGGTGCCTATTATGAGGCTATATAATTTTAAAAGATAATCCGAGTACGGAATTATTCGATTAATTTCATTCTAGATAACTATTTAGATATAATATAACATCGACAGTAAACGCATATTTTTCTAAATTTGTTTTGCTTTCCTTCAAATAATAACTAAATATAACTGGACAAGAATTTGCCGAATTCTGATAATAATTACTGTTCATTTATAACAATTGTAAACATCATTTTTATTGAAACCTATAATTATAAACATATATTGTGCCGCGCGTCCGCGCGTAATTCGTATGAATCTTACAATGGCGAATAAGCTTCAAACTACGCGAGGCTAATCTAGATAATTTTAAACTTTTAGTTTTTCATTTAGTTCAATCGATATAATACCATATGAAATGTTAATATTGTCTGTATAGAAATATAATATTGATTGACATTATAATTTTAAGGCCGCTCAGAAAAAGTGCGCTGTTCCATTGGCGGAAGATTTAAACGAAAAGAATTACGAAGATCTATTAGCCACCGCTATATTAAATAAGGTATATGATTTATATTTTCGTAACGAATTATTTCCATAGTATTAGTATTAAATATATTAAACAATGTACTGTAGAAACCCTTTTTCGTCCCAATAAGCTCATGTATGGCTTCCCGACAACATGTCCTTATTATAGTTTAGACGGTGGTTACTAGTCATTTAACCGTTTCACCAAGCTAATATAATACATATTACAATGTTTGTAAGTTTTAGATAGTGTTTTTTTTTTGGTTTTTCATATGTTTTATATTTTATTGTTAATTAATATTTCTCCCTCTTAGATAATCGCGAACAGCCAAACAAGAAAAAGGGCAATACCCAATGGGCGAACTCGATCGACTAAACATCTTTCAAAACAATCGGGTACGTAAAGTTTTGTTTCTGAAACGCTGTTACTGCGTGAAAGCTCGCGATACTAACACATAATATTTGATTGTATACGTTATTACGCCATGTAGATTTAAACGACGACACTTCCAAGTCGGGAAAAAGAGAAGATTCTTGGAGATCCCCTCGCGTGTCGTTGACTGTAAGTAAGACGCTAACACGTAGACATTTTCAATTGCTGCCATAAAAGAGTTTAGCACATAATAGAACATTGTAATATTACAGTTAATGTAAAATTTATTGTATCAGTGGCGTGACGAAGGACTTTATTTGAGGCACGTGCTCCAATTTAAAAGGGTGATGGGTGTCCCAGGGTTTGGAAAGCTTACGATTTTTGAATTGTGAAAGAGAGGATTTCAAAATTGGTTTTGAAGAGCCGTACACAATTTGGAAGATCATTTGATGTGTTAAAAAAATCATTGTTGTTTAAATAAACAAATATATTTTCTTCGATGAAAGTTAATTTATTATTATTGTTGTGAGTGCTAGATCCGACAGCATAAATTATTGAAACTCATTAGTAAATTAAGTTTACCACGGTACTGATACAGTATAGACTAGAGATGACGAATCCATGATATTAAATCGTTTTCACAAATCATACTGTTTTGTACGATTTTGTAATAATAATAATGAAAATAATGTAACGCCATTAATGGCTATATAATCGATGTCAGTATTTTAATATTATCTCATAGTGGTACGCTTATTTCGGGATAAAAAAAGAAAAACACATATATCTCATTCGGTACTTAAAACGATTCGCCATGTCTATGGGTACAGATTATAGTTGTGGACTTCATTATTTCGTTCACATGCTTGTGTGCATCCAGGTGACGGAGCTCACAGAAGAAGTGACAACGACCAGTTATAATACGTTCTCGGATATCGAAGGAGATTACGACGATGGATACAACGAAGGCGACGACGATGACGACGAGAGATCGCAATCAGCTATCGGGATGTTCATGTCGAACGCGAAACTGCTCCGAGGACACCACGTTCCGCTTCCCGAATTCGGATCTGATACCTTTGACGGTAAGTACGAAAACGCACGCACATACGTAATATCGGGCGCATATCAAAAGTTTAATTTCTGGGTAGGGAGAAAAGGGAAATTAAAATATACAAGTTTACCTTATCTGAATACCACGAATCATAAACTACCATGAAATATCTTCGATATAAAAATACACGTTTTTTGTATGATAATTCAATCAGCATTAAGGGGAAAAAGTATAAGCACTGTTGTTTTTTACCAACACAATTTATACTTTTACTTCGACGAAGGACCGCAGCCCTCTCACGACCCCTGTAAACACGCCTCCACGCGATGTGCATGTCTACGTGCAGCACGACCTCGACACGGAATCATCGTTCGTTTTCACCGTCGAATGTTTCTGTTGTACACGTGTATCGGTCTTAGTTCCTGTGCGTCTAAGTACGCCTTCCGACAAACGAATATTGTGCGGACAACACGTCACGTTTACGTATTCACTGCCCATGGGAAATCGCTAGTTATATTCGATCGGGGAGCAACTGCGTCAAAATTGTTTATACGAATAGCGATATAAACGTACCGTGCAGTATTGATCGTGACCCCGCGGAAACAAAACGCGGACGAACGGGCAGCTTAATATTACGTGTACATTTGACGTTTTTTTTTTTGGTAAAGTTTCCCACGCATGTTCGGCTGTAGTTATCGTTGCAGCCCATAGGCGCAACTAGGGGGGTGATTGAGGGTGCTATAGCACCCCCAGGCTCTAATTTAGCACCCCCCCGTCAAATAATTTATGATTGAAAAATTGTATGAAAAAATAGTGTTTTTCTTATTTCATACGTGTATAGGTATTTGTATTTGATGCTTTTATCAGAAAGATGAATTGTTCATGACTATTAGTTAAATACATCGTCAGAATTACTTGAAAAATATTTCACTAGTCATCGCAAGATAATACGAGTATAATTATTATATGTTGTATATTGTATAATATTTTTTTAATTTGTATATTTCTTAGTGCTGTATGACCTAAATAAAATTATATAATGAAATAAATAGGTATGTTACAATTTAGGCTTGTTAATATTTATAAATTAAAATATTAGTGTATGTGTGTTGTTATGATACATTTAATGATTAAATTGAGATAAGGTATTTGGAGGGGAGGGAGAGTTGGTGTAGCCACCCACGGGTTAGTGCGAGCTATGTAATTTCAGCACTCCCAATATTTGAGCGCTCTAGTTCCGTCTATGTTGCGGCCGGGCTAATACATGCCGATCCACCAATACGCGTTTTTTCAAACGTTCCGCTTGGCAAGTATGTTTTTCACCGTTCAGATGATCTCGTCGAGATTTGTGCGCGAATTGTATGATGATCGTATTCCTGAACTGGCCTCCCGATCGAATCGCGCGCAACTCGGCGTTCACGAAATGAAACGTCTTTATCGCGATATTGCACGTCACGTCGAGACTGTACTAATTACATCTGTGTACAGGCGCAACTAGGGGGGGCGCAGTAGAGTTTTTATCACCCCGGAGTAGCACTCCTGTTTTTTCAGATCTCTATAGTCTAATTGCAATATTTGGGTTCTAGTTGCACCCATGCACTTGTGGTAAATCGTCACCGAGTAAATATGCGCCCCCCCTTAAGGATAAATCGTTACTTACTGCGGTACATTACGTGTAAACATTATGTTGATCTTCCAGAGGGCAGCGTCGTCGACCCGGATGATCAAGGGATCAGCACCACGGTGGACTCGTGGGAAGACAATTGGTTGTTCCAAAAGAAAAGGGTCAGCCGTCCGTCCGGCTCTAACAATTATCATCACCATCCCGTGCCCGTGCCGATGCTAGTGCCGAACCCGTGCGAAGTGACCAGGCCTCTGATCGGAGATCGCGACGCCGACGAAACGTCTGAACTGTCCGACTACTCGAACTCCGCTCTGGACGAGCTACTCGAACTATGTAATTCACTCATTATCGATGTGCAATAATTGATATTACGTCCGATGGTCTGAACGGACCGCGTACGGTCGACAAATTGTAGTCGTTGTAAAAATAATCTATGAACACTTTTTGAATTTCCTACGGACTTATTGATAATTACTCGATTAGTTGTCGCGCGGGTACAATAGAAATAAATTAAATATTTTTTCTCCATACTTGTAATGTTTCAACTTGAAAAAATATTTCTTAACTCGTCAACCGCATTCGCACGTTTAGGGTCAAACGCGTTATACGACGTGACGACGTTAACATAACTTGACCGTGAATTGACAGTGAGACTACCCCTTGCTTGAATCAACTGGCATGTCTGCGTGATCCGATATACTCTTTTATATATATATATCGCTTCTCCGGTGGAACAACGACATAAGTGCAAATTTTTGACTTTTAGACATAAGTACGACAACAGTACAATAACATTTCATTTTATCGAATGGAATAATGACATAAGTATAATACCTATTATTGACCGCTAGAGAGCAGTTTCGTCATTGTTGAAAATACCGGTTTTTAATCACATATCCAATGGAACAATTACGTTTTCTGAAGAACAATTACATTTTCACTTACGCCGTTGTTCCACCGGAGAAGCGATATTATATTGCCGGTTTTTTTTTTATTTACTTGTTTCCGTGTTTGAACAGCCGATTTCGAGCCGGAGCAGCAGACCAGCAATATGCGTCCAACCACCGACCAATTGATTATGTTCGAGGGCCCCAGCAGCGAGGAGGACAATCCGTTGAACTGGGATCCGGTGGTGGAAGCTTGCAACAAGCACGTGGCGCTCTCCCAAGTCGATTCTGGTAGGCGAAACGTGTTCGATAAACATCTCTGTTTAAAAAGCGCGTTAATTGGTGACTGTTGATTTTACTGTAATGACCATTGGCGTTATCTGGAGTGGGAGGACGGACCTTTTCTCTCTAGATATCGGTGGAGAGGCAAAAGTACTGTTTTGTCCTCTTCCTATCTGTCTTCAGTTGAAATTCAAATTTATAACGCGAATCAAGTATGCGATCGTTTAATACTTTGAATCATGGCTGTATCTAGAAATTTTTTTCGGGAGGGGTTCAAAACATGTATATTGTAATTTTATTGAATTTAAATTTTAAATTTTGATATTTGGTTAAAAATAAGACAGAAAAAAATTTAATCTTCTTTTATTAAAATTAATACCATATTTTAATATGATATTATATTATAAAACTAAAAACAGTTAATGGTTAATTAGAGCTTAAGTCATTTTTGACTGAAAATATTTATGTTGGTATTGAAAAATAATTATTATTTTAAACATTCGTAAAATATCGAAGAAATTTCGGGAGGTGGGTGTGCAGACACCCTGGACCCCCCAGATACGGCTTTGCTTTGAACACAACGATATTCATGGTACAGTTAAATGTGATGGACCATAAATGAATGGACCATGGTCGGTAGTCATTGATCCATAATGTATTAAAATAAAAATGTTCAACATTCTGAAAACCGCAGCCCGATAGCGGATACCGTTGATACCACAATATGATATCGTACGGGTTTGGGAGGTGGGGGACCAGCGCTGGTTTTCCATGCTCTTGACCATTATATTTTAGATATTATATTAAAAAAACATAGGTACTTACGGTGTTACAATTGATTATGTAAAAATATAACAATAGGAATGCCGGTTAGCAATTGAAACCAGTGGAATATTGTTTTCAGTCCTGTAACAGCATGTAAGCAGTTATAAAGTCGGCTTAGAGCATTGTCTCAGGAGTCTTTTATAATATATTGTTAAACTTTTCGGTTGAACTTTCCTCCCTCTCATCCACCCATCACCCCGAAAATAATTTCCTCTGAGTTACACCACCGATAAAAAATTATACATATTTCCAATGCTGATTTCTGCAGGCCAGGGTTCCATGGACCACCAGAGAGATTTTGACAACAGCTCACTAGAAGTTCACGAGAGACCGGTGCCCAGGCCCAGGTAATTCATGTCACACGCGCAAACCACGCGTTAATCGAATTTGAAAAATTAAACTGTACGTTCGTCGTTTGTACCGCGTAGGACCAGTTGGACGTCGAACGCCACTGACAGCGAGATCAATTCGACGTCTTCCGAGGAAGTGGTATTGCCGCCAGTAATCGTACGTAAAGATGAATCGTTGCCTCCCAGGCCAGGTAAGTGCGGTGAAAAAGTTATAAATTTTATAAAATTGTCCCCTCATGGCCGAGGCCAAACTATGGCCTTCACACGTTACGCGATTATTCTGACTCGAGATTTTCATCCTAGGCTAGGTACACATGAAGAGCGTTTTTTTACTCATTGTTCACATTTGTAAGATATTTGTAAGCCATTCACAGTAATACGCAGTATAAAATATTGTGACGACTAAAGTCAATCCACCAATATTCGAACTTGATAATCATTCGTGATTAAAAATATACGCGTCTAACGTATCATGCTGTTTTCTCGAAAACGGTGAAAAAATGAAATTAAAAACATTGAAATTCAAGCTTAAATATAGAGTTCAGAAAAAGTGAATGAATATTTGTAGTAAAGCGATGGCGGAATTCGAATTAATTTTGGCGACGAAAGTATTACGTTTATATGTGTTCCATCCGTGCGATATATAAACGTAAGACAACATTTTCGTTTTATAAATTACCAGTGATCTGCTTCGGTCGATGTGTCCATACTATCAGTTGTTAAATTGTTGTAGCGCACGAACGTAAAAATAATTGTCGAGGCCTCACGATGCTAAATAAGCAAAAAAAATATTATTTCAATTATTATTCATTTTTCCATTATGCTTCGGTGACGGCTGCTCGTATTTTTCTTGGTGTGTAATCGTGAAGACGATACCGTCGCTGACCCCTGACATGAGATTCGCGAACACTCGGGGGGTCACGGACCACAGGTTAAGAACATATAGAGTTCTTAATTCTGCGTATTAGTAGAATGGCCAATTGGTTTTGAAGTCGTTTTTTCGTCTGCTGCAGGGACGATAGCGGAACGAGAACATCTGAAATGGGAAAAAGCTACACCACTGACGAACAACCCGTACTCCGCGGAGAACATTGAGAAGCGCAAGTACAAGTCGATGTTCGGCAGCCGGAGCAGTAGCGAGGCGTCGCTGCAGTGAGTACTTGTTTACTGTAGAACTATTCCTTTTGAAGCGCAATCAGATGGAAAACCGATCTTACAACATTATGTTATTAAATATTATCCCTTAATCAATTACCATTCAAATTAACGGGAAATAAGTAAATTGTTATTGTCACGAGTTTCTGTTCAAATCACTTGAATAATGAAATTGTCGTTCGACAAATTAAATGTCTGTTATTGCGTTGATAAGTAAAAAAAACAAAAATAAATTAACTTTTTAATATGTCTATACATTCGGACGAGGAGGCATTTGCACGTACACAATCATTCAATACAAACTTATAAAAATTAACGTATAACTTACAAATAAACACACACACACACATACATTACGAGGATTGCGTCGTGTTAGTGTTTTGTTAGATAGTTGTAACGAACGCAATATAATTTTTTATATTTTATTCTTTCATTTCGCGATGATGGTATTTTGTTTAAGGAACTTGAGCAACGGACACGATACGTCTGTCCCATTGAAAATAATTTGCAGCCCGTCGTTACCAGACACGCAACGGTAATTCTTTCGTATTCACGTCTTTTACTTCAATCGAGTAACCGAAATAACATTATTGTGTCAATGATTTTTTTTTTTTATTGTTCAGGTACGGTCGAGACTACTACATTAATCGGTCCGGGGAGTCCAAAGCCGAACAAAAACAGGTTAGTGTTCACGACGACTTCGGTACTTTGGAAAAATCAATAGTATACGGAACTTTGCCCAGAACCGTGTTTAGGAATCCAAAAAGCACACAAAATTTTATTAAAAATCCTATTTATTCCGAAGACAAGTAGAGTCGTAGCTGCCTACCACCGTGCCATAAAATAAAATAATACGATCAACTCTATTTCTTCACACGAAACAACCAATTATTCTTATTGAATATACTATGATAGTTACCACTATATACTTATGTATAAGATATATTTAGTTTAATCTTTTTGGAGGGGGGAGGTTCACGGTTTTATGTGATATTTTTCGTACGAAATCGAAATAATAGTTACCATATATTGTTGTGTTACATGAAAATAAAATTTATCGTCTACCAGAACTTGTTTTTATTTGTTTGTCTTCGGAGAGTATTGCACATTTTCCATTGGAGAACTTTAGCGGAAACCGCCGGCAGAGCAATTTCGTAGCTTTAAGTGTATTCGCTAAAACAATATTTTGGTACATGAGACAGCTATTGGTTTCGAGAATTCATCGCGCATATTTTTAATGCTATAGTGAAGTTGGCCAGGGAATTTGTGTAGGAAATTTAAACAGCTGTTAAGAAAAACGGTGGACTAGTGTTTTCAACCACTACGTTATCGATCATGTAGACGAAAGGATTAACGAAAAAACGGTTTGGTTTTGATTAGGCGTAGAAAAAAAAAAAAGAAATTAAAATCAAAACAAATTAAATTTCTTCAAATTTTGTAACGACATTTGATCGCACTGCAGCGTATAATGATTGTGAATAATGTGATTAATTATGTTCACGGCGTGACATTAACTAGACCACGCCCACGTTCCTAACTCCATCTTCCGTGTTCGGTACTCGGGATGACGCACTACAACGACGCCGAACTCGGATTTATTCCGAAATCTGAAATCGTCATCCTACCGCTCGGCCACACAAACTTTATGATTAACTTCTCGGGCACCGATTGCGTACACAACACTTCGTCTGACCCGGTCAAACCTTTAACCTCCGGTACTCGCTTACACCCGTTTAAGGTGCGGTGTCCAATGCGCGACAGGTCGCGCTCTATCGTTTATTTGGGTTTCCCATTGACTGGTGTCCTATCCCCGCGACTGCAATGCACGACTGATAATTTGTCGTCACGACGAGAGCAATGTAACACGACCGGTCGCTCACATCAATATGTCGGCAATAGTATTTTCATCACAAGAAGATAAACTTTTTATCGAATCCGCGCGCGTAAATATCCGGAGTTATAAGACATTTGACACATGCAGTATAAAAATGTATTAATCAAAGATAAAAAATGAAAATATATTTTTGGTTTAAAAATAAGGAATCAATTGGTTCCCTTTTTTTAGGCATAAAATACGAAAATAATCGTTCATTCTCTTCCGATTCATCTTCTAGTAAGTTTGGAATTAGTTTATTATTATTTAAAACGTACAGCAACTCATTATCAGACATGTTGGTACCGTTGTACGTCACTCTTCAACAGACATCGGCGTACAACTGACAAAATTTAGAACCGAGTAGCTACGATCGGTCGCGTATTGGACACCGTACCTTTAAGAACAGTTGATCAAATGATCTATGAGTTCGACGTCACCGACACGCGCTGCACTCGGACCGTGTCCGAGTGAGCGCGGTCGCGACGAAATCCTATCGAGTCAGTGGCGTATGTATAGGTTTTCATTTCGGAGGGGGCCGATTATGTATTTGATTTTTGGGTGGAAAGGAAGGAGCAAGCACGCTTGGGAAAAAAATTTCTTTAACACTATAAGACTTCTCGACTGTCTTTACACCATCAGAGAAATAAGAAACTCAATTTCTTTCATGATTTATTATTTTTAAAAGTATAAAAACTACATTGTAATAAACGAATTTTTTATTAGAGTCACTAAAAATTCACCACATATTTTCTCAAAAGAACAAACATATTTTATAAGTATAAAATTTTAAATCATCGCGTAAGCAACATTCTCAGTGTCGCGAAACAAATTTTCGAAAATCCCCAGCATTAAGACATATCCATGTTAAAAATAACAATCTTTAACAACGGTGTTTATCATTTCGGAGAGGACCCCCCCCCCATAAATACGCCACTGTATCGGGTACTCGTCGGCCGTCGGAGCCCAAACTCTGGACGAGTACGCGAGCAACGTTCCCGGATAAGATTGATACGCGATCTACCGCGTCGGTCGCGGATCGATAGTAACAATGATAGAAATCGTAATCGCAACGCGTACACAATCGATGTAATGACGGTGAAACACGCGGGCGACGTGCGTGCGTGTGTGTTTACGGCAGACGAAGGTGACGACCAGACTGGTGGTGCAGATCGGCGGCGTCGCGGACCACGCGGAACGGCGGCACACCGAGAGCGGTGCTGACGGACCGGGGACGGCGGTCGTCGGTCAGCCGGCGGCGGCCAGCAACACGGCGCGCGACAAACTGGTTCGGGTGTGCTCGTGGTCGGACAGGCGGGACAGCGACGGCGGCGGTGCGGGTGGACGCGGCGGCCCCAGGAGTTCGGTGGTCGAGTCCGCGGACGACGTGCACATGCCTTCGGTCAAAGAACTGGCCAAACAGTTTTCGTCCAACGTGAGTGTTGAAACCATTGCAACGATAATACGAGTAGTTGTACAAAATATCCGCACAAAACGGTTCCGACCTTTGCGGCGCGGCGCGCACCGCTTACGCGTTTCGAACATTTCCACGTGACTACCGGTCGAGCGAAAAACTTTTCTTTTGTGTTATCCGTAAAAAAAAAAAAAAATAAATAAATAAAATAAAATGTACACGTGCTGTTGTATATTTGTTGCATTGCACTCGTACTCATGTGACGATCATGAATCATGGTTCATGATCAATCATGATTATGGACTATGATGAATAGTGTACGGATTTCGGAGGCATTTGCTGTGTTCTTCCATTGACTTAAAAAGAAGCAATGTTAGCTATTGATTCGATTTCTTACTGCATAAAATCAAATGCACGGCATTTTATTTTGTTTTATTTCGCTTTTTCGTTTTTTTAATGCTTTTTTTTTTTTTGCTTTTAAGTAACGTTTTGAAACATTTCTTCAAACGTATTCTAAGCGTATTTATTTTCAATTGACTTTGTTTTGCTATGTTTAATTTAATAAAACGATTTATTCGTTATATATAGTTCAGTATAACTGTTCAACGAACCGTGTAAATTTATCAGCTTACCATTTACTATATGATATATAGTAGATTAATTTAACAATTAACATGAAAATATTATCTTACCTTGGATATTATTTACTCAAAATTACAGTTAAGTTTTTGTTACCGATTGTCACTTACAAAATGACAAAAATTATTGATTTTAGTGTTCGTCTTCATAATATTGTAAAATAATTCGATGAAAATGTTTATTTTTTTTAAATTCATTTTTGATGCTTTTTTATGTCTTGCATTTTTGCAGAATTTTATTGCTTTATTTTAAGTGATTTCTTTTTAGTTTTGTATGGCTTCGAAATCCGTATTCTACTGACAAATTATTAAAATTATTATTTAATGAGACGGTCGTCACAACTTTGTAGTACACGAAAAAAAAATAAAATAATGTTAAGTAATTAATAATAAACATTTAATTGATTATTATTAAATAATTATAATACTTACTCGTAAAATGTGATAGAAATAGAACATAAATGTTTTAATATTATAAATACATTTCATTAACTACCTAATTTTATCATACGTACTGCGTCATCTGTATATCGAGAGTGTGCAGATTCATAAAACAATTCAAAATGTCAATCCCGTGTAAAAATTAACTCCTAAACATTTTTATTCTGACGCATTAGAATAAAATGTTATTCGTTTTAGAAAACGTTAAAAATTACGTCCCTGTGGAAACAAAAATTCGACCCACCGATATCTCGATTGATAAATTAGAATTTTCATCCAAGTTCTTGAATATCATCACAACTCGACTGTAACACCAAACTAATTGACTGGTCTTATGGTTCAAGATTTACAGGTTATACTTTTACGGGTCAATACGCTCTTTTATGTAATATATATAATGCACGTATGGGCACTACTGCAACGTTATACTTTTAAAATACTGTCATCTACTCGATGTTAATTATTGTTCATTACGTAGCTTGATCTTTTATCGCACACCACTATGAAGAATACCCTTTTACAAAACTGGTACATACGTTGCGCAACCGGTCTAAAAACACCAAGTCCGTTGGGTAGCTATAGACCAAAATTTGCACAGAGGTACTTTTCATAATATTATTGTCATGTCATCCGGGTTTCTAAAACATATCTCTGACCACGTAATAATATTGTATAATAGTAATAATAATAATAATAATAATTCGTCTACGATTGCTTTTTTTTTTTTTTAGAACGTGGACAAAACGAAGAACCTGAACCGTCAAGTAAGTAGACAACCAAGTTCTTTCGCTCCGAAGGTGTATCGCCTCCAAACGAGGTTCGATTATTTGCATGTGTGCTGAATTATATGCGTGGTGACGGAAACAACTACGTTCGCGATGTACTATTCGTATGTGTTATGATTATTGGTGTTTGGTTGTTGTAATATAATAACAGTAGCTTATTTCATTGTTTGTACATTTTTATCTTCCAATAACTTGCCTCAAAAAAATATGTATATATATATATATATATATTACACATTTTGTCAACGGCTGCAAGTAGTTTGCATTTTATTGCAGTCCGAGCAATGCACCGCTTTAACCGATCATTGCTATTGCTTTTGATTGCTGTTGGTGTTGCATGTACCGCGGGAACCGATACTGTTCAGTACAAATAAATTTCAAAATAATTCAGAAATATCTGTTGAAAATATATTGCACGGCGTATCGTGTATGTGATCAATTGACTCCCGACTGCTGAACGTGGAAAATAAAAACCACCGATAAATCGCGACACGACATCAAATATAACTGAGCGTTCGAATACGATACAACCTACGGTTATGGTAGACAGTTCAGTATTAGGGAGGGGTAAGGGGTTAAAAACGAGCCATGAATGAAAGTTAATAATTTATTAGTTAATATAATTATGTTTACGTGTAAACACTTAAAGTCAACAACTTTTGATTTCGAGAGATTTGGCGGTGGTCAATCGGCTGCAGCGTATACTGCCGAATAAATACGTTACTATTTCTAGCGAATGAAAATGATAAATACGCCAGGACTTATAAGAAAGCGAAGTCAACGTTCTTTCTCATGATCTCGGCTTCTTACCGCGTTGAGAACACGTACATTTGTGTGGCAGAACTTCTGTGTTTTGTTTTTTGAGTTTTAATCGGTTCAATACGAATAACCCTATGGTATGATGGCAGAAGCTGATATGTACATTTTTTAAACTTTCGGAAAAACGAGTTTAAAGGTTTAGAATGGAATGTAAAATAAAATTTGGTATGAAATGCATTAATTCTTTTATAATTTTAATAAATAACCTTAACACATAAAAGACATATCATACTTGGCCACCATTTGAAACATATTATTTATCAACTATTTACATGATAATCCAAAAAACAACAAAAAATGACATATCCAGCTCCTGCCATCATACCAAAGAACTACAAATAAACCAGGTAAAATAACACCGTCAATACGAAGACTTTCCCGTGTGATCGGACACGTACCGAAAATGTCGAAACTGCTTTCATCTTAAAAAATTGGATAAAACCTGTGAGTCACTCTAAGTAACAGTACACGCATGTCGAAAATAATAATCTAACATCGTGTTGCATGTAATATGCTTTATACGATTTTGAGCGTACATAATATCTATGTATAATAAATAATATGTTTACTGCATGTACTAATGTATAATTTACAGCGATGTTGTGTTGTGTAACCGATTTAAATATTCGGCACTGCTTTTAGTATTCGGCAACCGTGTCCTCTAGGTTCTGGTGTAAATGTCAGAATTATAACAACAAACCCGTCGTGTAACTCAAGATCACGTGTAAGTTTTGATACTAAAAAAAAAAAAATCGAAAACCCATCAACAACCGTATACCGCGTATAGGTATATTCGAAGAGAATTATTGTAAAATAATTGTGAATTATTCCGATCAATCAATGACCGATCGTTAAAAAAGAAAACGTTACAGCGTGAAAAAATCAAAATCGTGCGTCACGCTAATTGTCAAATGCCGTGTGTTCGAACGATACAATTGCACTTTGGTTTTCGCAATGAATTCAGAAATTATGTTCGACGACGAGTGTCTACTTTCCGTCGCTCCCCGTGAATTTCCCAAATAGTCGCTACGACGCGTATCGTAACCACGTACCAATCTGAATTGACAACTAATTACACTCGTATTATTGATCGTTACACCGGTTTTGTTCGTTTTGGTCGGTTTTCCGCTGATGGCGTAAAGTTTTCCCACGCGCAAACGGTGAAACGCTTATTCAATTATTCATAATTTATCGTAATCTAATTTTTTTTTATTAATATTTCGTACAAATATTTACTTCTTATCACTTATTTTTGTTATTTTATATATATCATTTAAAAATTGAACGATTGTTTTTGTTGTACTATTCAATGTAACTGTACGTGGCTTTTTAAAAAATATATAAAGAGTTAAAAAAGTTAATACAATTGAAAAGTGTTTTTGTAACATCAACGGATGACGCATGAATTCAGAAAGAGATTCGGAACAAAATTAAAATATACTCAACACGTGAATTCGGGAGAGTCCATATGAAATTCTACCAAAGCCGTGTAAGGAAAATGTGTAAATTGTAAACGTAGGAACCGTACGTACTTATGAAGGGTGCTTATGGGATCGCAAATATTGCACCGAATCACGTCTGTTAGATTGCACGTTTGATCACAAAATTTCACATCGTTGAATTTACATGAGATGTTCGAACGGCTTGAAAACGTCTCCGCGGGAATAGGGAGAGGGTGAAAAGACGATCACTCCCGGGGTAAAGAAACATACGTGTTGCTGTTTTTACAAACGGTTTTTCAACGTTTGTCATCAGGTTCATAGCTTGACGGCCAGGAGTCTCAGTCGGGAGTACAGGGAAGGGCTGGGATTGAAGGTGCGCGAAAAAAACGGACACGCCATTCAGGACTCGGACGACAGCGGAAACGGATCGGTCAGGTCCGAAGACACTACCACCGCGGCGAAGGTCGTCATCAGCCACCCGCAGGCCTCATGAAAGGACTATTAAATAAATATTGTATAATCTATTATAGGCATAGTTTATATACTATCAATATAAATATATTTAATGCTGAGTAATCGGTAAATAATCGTCTATTATATCATGTCGTATAATTGTATCGAGGATTTTATTGTAACGGTTGTTATATTATTATCGAGTAATAATATTTATCGAACGGTTATTTTTTGAATAAAATATACGTATAATGCATATGCATATGTATTCAAGTGCATCTGTTAAATTTAAATTTTTTTGTAACAGTACACGTGGACGTGCATACTATAACGCTGTATCGTACAAAATTAATTTTACAAAATCAATATCCCTGTACACGGTTTTTGCGTATAATTAGATAATGTTATAGAGATTCACTTTGTTATTATTGTTATTTGTAATTTTTATGAAACTATATTAAATTATATTACATACATATATTTATATTATAAATTGTTTGAGAAAATTAAATAAAAATAAAAAATCGACAGATGTTTAAGCTGTGCGCTGTTCTTTTTTGTTTCATTGATTTTATCTGCGATTTATGTTCTATCTCTACGTCCGCCTTCACGATTTCAACAGAAAGAATCGCTCCGATCAACAAGAAGTGGAGGATTGATTTCAGACAGGAAATATTGTCCAATTGGTACCATTGGCGCCTAACCCCATATTCAAGGTGGGTGGATGCCCTATCTCTTAATAATATTTCAGTGGTAGGTGTCATTATAGTTATGATGAACTGTAAATAAACACGGCTGGTTATCAACTCGTTGGTACGCACTGCCCCATAAATAAATCCACGTGTCTTATTTATTTACAATATAGATTTTACATATATATAAAAATGGATTTCTGTCTGTTTGTTTGTCCTTTTTGTATTCTTAAACGGCTTGACCGATTGCGACGAAATTTGGCACAGAGACAGATTAGGGCAGAAGATAGGCTAAATTAAAAACTGTTAGGCCCAAGCACGGGAAGTGCTCAAACAGACGTTTTAAGATTTACAATGGAAACTTTTGTTTACAAATGGTTTATAGTTGCTATTAGTTTCAATATTAATAATAATTAGTATGAAAGAAATTAATAAAAATGCATAGTCGGACGAAATGACGAAAAGGACGAGGAGTCGAAAAATTCAAAATCCATCTCAAAATGCCAATCAATAAATAAAATAAAAATATAAAACATAAGTTAAAACACAGTAAACGAGTAAACGACTCAAGACGTAATCAATTGAATAAAACAAAAGCACAATAATTAATATTTTGCATTGTACGCATGCGCGAAACAATTGAATGAACGTATAACTAGCAACAGAGAATTATTATTTCCAACAAGTTGATAACATGTTGCAGCACTGATGGAACAGAAAACATTTTGTTAGATATTTTAAATTTGCTGAAAGTTTGCAATACTATACTGGAACAAACCTAGTATCCTTAAATTTGTTTTTATTATTTGTTTCCATGACACGTGCCTCTATGGCATTAAAAGTTTTACCGATATTTTGTGTTTTTTTTTTTTTTTTTGTTATAATAACGACATTTATAAGCAGTTATGACTCAAAAAAAAAAAAGAAAAAGATCGATCAGTAGTTCCATTGCTAGCATTACAGGTAACGAATTTAATACACAGTTTGAGACATATATAAGGTAGTATTTTTAACGGGCTATAAGTGCACGGGTTCAGCTAGTCTAATAATGTTGTTCATGTAATAAACTCAATAAAATATTAATGGGCCCTAAATCTGATGGTGCGACGGTGATCAAGTCTTATTTTGTTTTATGAGTACACGCCTTACCTGTGTCGTTTAGTTTAACGCTAACTGTAACAATAAGTATCATCGAAACGAATATAATCTGAATGATAATAAGAACTATGACTCGAGGGATCATCTGTCTATGCTCCAAAATAAAAAATGTTAGCCAATTTGTATGTGTATACGATTGGAAGATATCACAAACAATTTTTTAATTGCAAAGTTGTGTGTATTAAAGAACACAATGTCAATAGCATTGGTAGATTAAAAATTGAATCGGAATATTGTGGGAGAGCTTAAAACAAAAATTTAAAAAAATTGCCAATTTCTGAAAGCAAAATATTCTACATAATTTAATGCTCGATCGAACAGATTAATTTGAATAGAAACTATGTAAGCTAGTTTTAAAAGTCATTAAAAATCAATAAATGCTTAAAAGACCACGAGTCGAGATCCATGTAGGACCGAAGCTGATGTGCACAATCATAACAGAAGTAATTATAAATAATAAAACAATATAATTTTTGTACAAAAAGAGTGATTTATTAACACAATGTATAAATGTATATCAATACTTAATAGTAAAGTTCAAGGTATATAAATTACAATATATATATAGGTTATAGGGTTTCTTTTTATATTGACCAATGGGTCCGTTATAAAAAACGCGTAAAAAAAGAAAAAGTTAGAACACTTTTTAACAGTGATTAACGTTCATTATAATGGTAGCAAGAGCCAACGGGCAAAAAAATTGTGAACGACAAAAATCGTTAGTATATGAAATGCAACTAAATACAAATTTCTGTAAACCATGGCATCTAGAAAATAAATGTTTTAAAACATGATATTAATTATAATATTGATTTGATATAGTGAATACAAAAAAGCTAAAGTATTGTGATCAATTGCAAAATAGAGTGTCATTGGCATGCATGCAAAAACAAGGGTGTGCAAGTTATCCTACAGTATTCAGCAGGATTTGAGAAAAATTAGAAAGCGCCTGTTAACTACTGCACAATGAAGTGGCTGTTGATATCTTCAAATCTGCAAATGTATTCCGTGTGGACAGCGAAAAATCCGTTCACTGTTTTCGATATTGTTTCTTCACATAAAAAATTAAATAAAAAAAAAAAAAAATAGCATTAAAGAAGTTCATATAATCACATCTGAAATGTTGTAAAAGTTTAACCAGTAACAAGGCGTAATCAATACGGTTAGAATTAGACGCGGAAAAAATATAATGTAAAAAACTTATTTGGGTCTTAGTTATGAAAGGGGAAGTTCTTGGTAATAAGTTACGCGAGAGTTTCAAACATCGTTTTGGTAATGTGACCGGCATCATAATATGGCTTCATGTTGGCCACGACCAACCGGACTATTCTCTTGAAGGATAGTGATTGTTCTTGGGATTCGGAGAGCTTGAATCCAAGTTGTGTTCCGGTGGTCTTTTGGAAGTACCGGTCGAGCATTTCGTCCACACGGATGTGTACTTCTTCCGGCAACTCCTTCAACTGCCTGCGAAATTCATGTTTTGGCAACGTGAGCACTGATCACCGGGACGGCCACCACAGCGCCGACGGTGTGTTTCGCATTGAGGTCGGATCGATGCAAGCGATAGGAATCACCGATCCCTGACGGATGCCTGTACGTCTATACTTATCGACAGCAATGGCGAATATTTTGTTTTCGTCGAACGAATCTGCAAAAACGTTTGCTATTATTGAATACGTGACGAACGGTTTACAACGATGCGCAGACAATTCGAAACAAAAAATCTGTTTGTGGTGTCTACGGTTGTATTCGATTCAAACGGTTCGAACACATTTTTTGTTACGAGTGGACTGTTACAATTACCGAAGTTGGTGAGCGTTGCGAGGATCGCATCTTCATTGGTCACGAATAACAGGAGGAACATTAAGTTCACCAGAATTCTTTTCAGCGATAGTTGTCGAGGAATAATCACTGGATATTTCAATGTCCATCCGTTCCTCTACGTGCGAAGACGCGAAGAAATTCACCTCTGCCGTCACCTTTCCTTCCGCAGGAATTTCCACGCTTTGCAGTTCGACGTTGCTGTTTACGATAATCGCCTTCAGAAAACTATGATTAATCCCGTATTCGTGCTCATTTTCACGTCATTGATTTGCGAATAATACAAATAATGTTCGACCGATTAATAAGATTTACTTGTTTACTGATTTATTAAGTTATAATAATTATATGCTACAGAATAGAAAATTCAGATATGTACAGTAAAAAAGTAAAAAATTAAGAATTTTTTAATTTTAAATTAGAATAAAATTATATGTTTTGCAAAAATTGAAATAAATTATTTTTAATTACCTATATATATATATATATATAGTTTATAAATCATATTATATCGCTTATTTTACTTTTTTTTTAATGCATATTATAGCGCATATTTCATGATTTTTTAGTGCTATAAGTTTCGAACTCTGATTATTTTATATAAATATCAAGAGTTTACACTTATGTCGTATTGGTGTATTAATTAATATCACATATTACACAGCGAATTCCAGTCGTCATCGTGTTGGCGATGTTTACTTTGGTCGGTGTGATCAAAGGCTGTATTGTTGAGTACTAGAGTCATCTGTCCATTTACGTGACTTCGTTTTTCTTCTTTAAGGCTGCTTAAAAATTAGTTAAATTAGTTAAAATTAGTTAAAAAATTAGAACAAAAATGGGAGAAGAAATATTGACAGGTCGACTCTTAGGCAATATCCATTAGGATATAATTATTGTCAGTGAAAATAACATAGAAAATATAATTAATAGATTTTCTATAAATAACAACGGAAACTGGACTATGTATTATAAAAATAAAGTATAATGTTAATTTTTTATACCATAATTTATGTTATTTTATTCCTTTAATTATTATAAAATTTAAATTTGTTCCTAAAGTTACAACCTACCAGTGTTAGGTTAGTTATTTTAAAAAAATAGTAAGTTACATTACTCGTTATTAAATATTAAATTAATCATTCGTTACTATTAAATGTAATGGAATTACATTTTACGTCACTCAAATAAAATTTCAATGAAATTACTTTTTTTTTTAATAAAAAAGGTAACTTTGTAACTTTCATATTGCAGTTGAAAAAAAAAAAGTTGTATTCATACATTTATCAATAAGTATCGTACAATAATATATCTAGCATTCATTAAATCTAACAACCCACCCACCACCTAAACAATTTCTGGGATCAGTGACGTGATTGTGGGGGGGGGGGGCAAGTGCCCCTTCTAACAATTTTTTGAGAGATAAAGATATAATTTTGCCCCCTCCCCTAGATAATCCAACTGTACAAATAGCACCTTTTATTAATGAACTCTTATTGGTATTATTTAACAATATTGGTACCTAGTACCTGCTACCTACAATTTATATTAATCTAAACCATAAAATGAGTTTAAAGACTTATGTAAAATCAAATAATTAGATATAGTGTTTAAAATACATACAATAAAAATATGTATTAACTGGTGAGGAGGAGGGGTGTTAGGGTTTTGGTAATAATAAATATATTATATTACCCCCCCCCCACCTAAATTTTTTCCCACTGTTACGCCACTGACTGGGGTATTTACCCCACCTGCCATACGTTTTCAGCGCCACTGCCTCTACTTGTTTTATCTAGAATAACGAATTTCTCCTAAGACTTGTATTTTAAGATTATATACTGACTATTGTTTTTATATTCATAATATAAGAAATTATTTTTTTTGAAAATAATTGATTTTAACATTCAGGCCCGAGTGCCTGGCTTATCGTGTTCTTTAGCCGTTTCGCAACCCGTATTATACCCGTATTTAGAGCCACGGAATAAGATAATATACTTTATGTGAACTATAAAAAAAATATATGTATATTATAGGTACACAAGGTGTGAAGAATGTTATGATGATATCAGGAAATCTGAATCGCAAGGCATCCCTCCACTTATCTTGAGCCATTTCGACCACGGGTACCAATGCATTTTTATAGGATTGTAGACATATAGTTGTAACGCATTATGCCCAGAGAAATTACTAATGCAGAATAATTTCCATTACGTTTTCGTTACACAGCAGAGACTAAAATTGTGTCCAGTACGACACACTTCGTGTAGTACGAAATTAAAATGTGTTTTGTGGTTCTATTCTCTACATTATGGTATTTGTTTTTAATTTTACATTATTTTAATTAAATTATCTTAAATATTTTTAAAATTCCAAGATGTATCATCAGCAAAATCTAAAATAACAACCATTTTAACTGTGTTACTCATTACTGTTAACGTTTGAAAGGGGATTATGACAAAATCCTTAAGTGTGCTGTACGAAATATGATATATTTTAGCCTCTGTTGCACAGTAAAAATTTTAATGCGATTACGTAACGCATTGCTATAAAAGTAACGGCATTGTAAACGCGTACCGCCAACTGGGACGTCATACTGTTACCAAAAGATAAATTGCACTTGAGATAGTATTAAAAAGATAAGCGAATAATAGGCAATGTGCGTAATGTTTTCGTTGTCCGTCAGTGAAAAATAATGGCGAATACTTTGCCCAGGTACAGTGCATCCGAGATACCATATATGTAATTATGCATTCTAATCTTTATTATATTCATTTCGAGTGGCTTCCGAGTAGAATGATTTCGTTAGCCTTTAATGAAATTAATCATAACACCATTATGCAACATAATAATGTGCGGTGACTTGGCGACAGGATTACTCGCAAGGAGCAAACATTTACATGGTACCCATCCACCCAACCTTTAAAAATTGATTAATGTCTCTTCGTTTGTATTGAATAGAACGTCTACATTTCTACAAGCAACTATTTACTAGTCAACTGGTACCTGACAGTTTATTATAACTAATAATTTATAGCACGAAAAATACAAGAATGTTGTGCAACCAACATCGGTGTTAGGGGGTATCCTCTAACCTTTCAGTATTTGACACGGGAAATTGCCTGTTTCGGACCCATTTTCATCACGCCTCTGATAATGCGACATTAGTTCGCAGTATCCCATCAATTTTATTTATCGTACAAAATTGATTTTGTTTATATTTAATTATTATAACATGTTGAATGCGCTTTCTATAACAAAGTTCATTAGGAACAATAATATCGCCTGTGATCGTTTGATTCTAACGTGATTTAGAGAATCACAAAGCCTAGCAGTTATAAAAGTATCTACGTGTGTTTTATAAATAATTTATCAAATTTAATAGAGAAATTCAATTCACTTTTTTTCATTGATCAGAAAAAAAATATTTACTTAAAATTCTTTCACATAATAAGCTTTAGAAATTGTGGCTGTTAATGGCTTGACAATATGTTCAATATCAAACACGTAATGCAGTAAAAAATATTCCAGTCCGTTTCATTTATCGAAAACAATTATCCACAACATTTTTTAATAAGTATAATAAATCACATATTATAAATAGTTTTATAAATAATGAATGAAAAAATATAAATTAAATTGTTTTTCGAAAATATATAATATTATTAACAGCATATAATAATATGTTGTTTATAAAATTAAACAAACAGAAAATATTAAAAGCATTATACGTAATTTCATCAAATATACATTTTATTTTATCAACACAGGTTAGTAAATAAATAACACAATTATTTTTATTATAATTTGTGAGAGTGTAGGTACAATAAAATAAAATCAGATTTCACAAAGTACATTTTTTTAAACGATAACCAAACAATAATACTTATTAACATTATCAACGTCATTACATACATATTATAACACCAAAGAATATTGTAAATGATATACAATAAATTAATTGTTTTAAGATCAATTAAGGAAGACAATAGGTTATATTATAGTAAGCGGATGAATTATTTAGGTGAACTGTAAAATATATATTTACAAACACCTCTCAATACTGAACATTTTTTTATGAATCCTATAGAGGATTTAAAAATTCATACCTTTTCATCATTTTCATTCACAATAATAGTCAATCATACCGTGATTCTACAGTGTTGAACATTTCTGATTTTTGAATATGAACTTCGCTACGCACTACTATCGTATCGGTTAATACTGTTTGAGCAAACAAATTCAACTATAAATTAATTTATCTAACATCTACAAAGGCACATTGGAACGCTAACGCGGACTTAATAAAAATATAGTATTTATCAGTCTAACCGCCTTGCGGTTTTCTTTAATGCTGCCAAATTTCAAGTATTATATATAAACTCTGCTATATCATTACACTATATATAGCAGGTATAATAATATTATGGACGGATATTGTACAGACTCAACCCTGTTAATTAGTTTCTCAATAGATATCATATATATATGTACAAACTCAGATTTTCTAAATAAAGCTTTTTTTTTTTTTTTTTAAATTAATGAAAAGCAATTTGAAACCTGGTTGTAAAAACATTAGGGCATACAAGCCATGGCAGATTACACAATTTCATAAACCCCAGGTATTTTTTTCATTCCCAACAATGTACTATATGGGTTCAGTTTGTGTTGACATTTCTACAGTATCATTAGCAAATAAATGGCACGTGCACTTGCAACCTAAAGGTGAAACATCTAAACTATCTGTTTGTTCTGATTCAGCATCCATAGCCATTGTCAACAATGATTCCAGACGTTCAATTTTATCTAAACGATCCATCAGCTTATCAGACAAAACATCATCCATCATTTGCATAGATTCGGTTAAGCTTGGTGGTTGTTCAGATGCAGTCGATTGGAACTCACCTGATAAAAATGATTAAATCATTAGTAATTAGTTAATTAGAGTTTGATATTAGATGATAAGAAATTTTTTGATTTTTTGTAAATTAATAATTTGTACTAATATTTATTCTATATCAATCATGAAATTTGTCTTTTAAGAAAAACATTATGAGAAATAACAAGTAGTAATAATCAAAATACTTGACTAATTAATAAAAACAAATAAAAATTATTTATTCAAATTGTATTTTAAAAAGTAAACTGTTAAATAAGGTTAATCCAGAAATTATTATACAAAGATAACAAATTAAATCATAATTAGAACGGTTAAAGGAAAATATTATAATAAACAATTAAATATTGGGTCAAATATAAATTAAAGAAAAATCAAGTTACCAATATTGTCAATTTTAACCAATATGAGTTTATGTTAATACTTACCAATGATTATGAAATAATAGACAAGTAAATAAATTTATTTACCTGATGCTGAATTATCTGATGATGTTGACTTCCCACTTATGTTGCTGTCTAAACTTAAAAACTCATTAGAATCACCATCTTCTCCATTGCTTTTCCTAAAATGCAATAAAAAATCAGTTTTCCTTCTACAATCATAATATGGTTTATTTCTAATAGCTATTTCATTACATATTTTTTCCTTCCATTTTTTCCAATTTTTTGGCAACTTTCATAGATCCTTTTAATTTTTCTTTATCTTCATCAGTTAATTCTAAATGTCTGTAAGCCATGATTTTCATTATTATTTATTAGTAATATTTTGATTGATTTTATGGTAATTATCAAATTCATAAAAATTATTATACCTTAATAATCTCAATTCTCTGTTACTAAGAACAACATTCTTTCCATTATCAGAAGATAATTTATCCTTGAGAACTTGCAACTCATTATCAATTTTACGCTGGTGCTTACGTTTTTGCACATTATCAGGTACTATAAATAAAAATGCTTGTTCTTCACATAACTCTTCTAGCAATTTAGTATTGGACGGATGAATTTGACTACAAAATAAACAAAAATCTCACTGTTGTAACATAATTAAAATATTATATACAATGTAATAAAAATAATAATAATAATAATAATAATAATACTTTTAATAATAAAGCATTTAATTCTCAACAATACCTATATATAGTACCAATACTAATATATGTACTTGATATCATAAATTTCTTAAATTAATACAAAATAGATTAATATATTATCATATTAGAAACCAACCATGACTTTTGAACTAAATAATTAAATATATCAAATAATTTTGGTAAGAATCTAAAATATTTATTTGTGTATGGTTTATGTTATTATACATTTACATGTGCATTTAAATATATAATATGTAGGTAACATAAATGTCATGTGAAACCATATAATATGTAAACTCCCAGTATAGTTCACTCAATAAAAACTGTTATCAAATTACATTAACATACATAGAATATTTAGTACTTACGTAGATAAAGTTTTATATAATTGAGGCATAAGAGTTAGTACATCACTAGCAGCATAAGCAAGCATATCCCTAGATAATGGCCTTCGTAGCCAATACCTCTGATCTTTTTTATTTAGAGTTCTTAGCTGGTCTCTAGATGGATTTATAGGCAAACCATATTTTTCACATATAGTATTAAGACTACAATTTTTTGCCTTATAGACGGGTTGTCCAGTTTCTTGAAATTGAATCACAGCTATAGCAGCCTGAAATTAAAAATATATAATAATAATTTAGAGCATAGATAGGTTTTGAATTTTGTTGATCAAATAAAATTGATACAAAATAGACTTAGTATAAATAAACCATCTAAATCAGTGATGGGCAAAGTACGGCCCGCGGGCTAACTCCGGCCCGCGAAAGTACTTAATCCGGCCCGCCGAGGGTCCACCGACATGGATAGTTATGGCCCCCAAATTAGGGTCGCAGAGGTTTTCCAGCATTTCTTATAATTTATATATTTTATTTTTTTACATTATAATTTTAATTTAGGAAAAAAATTCCAGAAATATTCTGAAAATGATTGAAGAAAATAGTTTTAAATATATAAATGTATCTGCAGAAATGCAGTTGGAAATTGTTGAAATGCAGTGCAGTACCCATTTAAAGCAATTGTTCTTCAATTCCACAAAATTAGATTTTTATAGAGCACTGCAGAAAGCCGAATTTCCAAAAATAATTGCTCAAGCCCAGAAAATTATAGCGATGTTTGCGTCGTCTTATGTGTGCAACAAAGTTTTCGACCATGAAATTGCGGAAAAACTCAATTAGAAACCGATTGACTATTGAACACCTTTTCGTACTGCTGAAAGTTGCTTCATCACAGCTGGAACCTGCTTTCGAAAATATTATGGAAAATCAAAAACAATTCCATATGTCTCACACGCCTACCATGGTTGAGCTTCCGAATAAAAGTTAAATTAATTATTATTTAAGGTAAAAGGTAATATGTAACATTTGTCTGTAATACTGTAATGTTTTTAGAATATTATGATTCAAAGCTTAAACACAAAATGCATTTTTTCTATAATTTTGGCCCTCCTCTAGAATTTCTTAAACCTTGTGGCCCCCCCCCCCCCATTAAAAAAGTTTGCCTACCACTGATTTAAATCAACAAATAATCAGTCTTCATAAAAATAATGATACAGATAATAGTGAACATTTATCTCTGATAATATGTCATATAATTTTATTAATTGGAAACTTGGTTAAAATTTCCTATGAACGAATTCAAGTTTAAATGTATATACGATCAGAACGATTTTACAAATGTTTTAATTTCATGACAATCATAAGTCCATCATTATTTTCATAAATCATATTTAGTCACGAATATTCTTGAATGTTAAACAATTTAAGCAGATAGATTTATTTCACAACACGAAATAAACAAAATACTATAACAGTCTTTTTGTGGACATGCCATAAAAATATGGTGCGATTGTAGAATAAATAAGACTAGGTGTGTTTAGTTGTCATAGGTAGTTGGTATTCTACTACTGTTCACATAATGAAATATTGATCTACATTTTTACTTATTTTTTTCAAATACGAGTATAAACACTAAAGAACTCACTTGAATATCGAACACATTTTTCATTGCAATGCCAAACTGGTTGTACAGGTTTAAACTTTCGTTTCGACAATCATTGATCACCTGTAATATTATGATAACAATAATTAATTTTTTTTTTTTGAAAGATTAAATAATTAATATGTAAATACACTTCCTTCTTAATACACAGTTAAATTTTTAATTCAAATTCGTTGGCAATAAAAATCATTATATCTTTCGTCCAAGTATACAATTATTAGTTTTACAATACTTGTTAAATATTTTTTACAATATGTATAACTTTTTAAATTTTTATAACTTTATTATAAAATTTGAAAATCAGGAAAACTAAATTTTATTATTTTTTAATTGATTAATTTTAAGTATTAAACAAGATAATAATAAAATACATCTACTTAATTATAAAATGTAAATTTTATTTTTAATTGGAATAGTTTTTTAGTTTATCCAAGTATGGACAGTTAAAATGTAATTTAAAAATTACTTGTACCATAAATATTTTAATATTTGAACTAAAAATAAATTTAAGTTAATTTATGTAAATTATAAAATGAATCACAGAAATCTATCACTAGAGATAAATTCAAGAGATATTATTTTATTAATTCGTGTGCTTATACTATTAGACAAAGAAAACTTAATTTTTTAAGATTTAATTTTTTCATATTTGGGTATATAAGAGAATTCAAAATCAAACAAACAATTAAAATATAGTAGAGCAGAAGACTTGTAGCATTTACATATTTTTTTTGCACAGTCACAAAAATAGTAGAGTGCGAAACAAATACGTTTCATGCTTCGACAAGGCTAGTTTTGAAATTTTATTGTGCATGTAAATGCATATTTTGCGTTTTTTTTGTTTTTAGGGCATATTTCTTCCATTTTATACTTTTAGATGCATATTTTAAGTGGTTTATCATTTTATCAATATTTTTTTGTCGACGTTTTTATTTATTTATTTATATAAACAAAATAATGTTGAATTTAAAATTATTTTAAATTTTGATCATAATATTAATATGGTTTTTGACTTTTCCCAGACTCATTATGGTTTTTCTAAAAACAGGTCTCGAGATTTGTCGATTAGATTGATTGTCGGGTTATTAATTTTATTTTTAGATAGATGAGATAATATTGTTTAATGCACAAAATATTGATACGGGCCACGGAACGTCTGTCGCCGACATAGGACATATTCATATTTCAGTAATCGCTGTTTCTCCGGAGTATTCGAGTTAGGTCCCAGATTTTTATAGGTAGTACACTAGTTGGGTCCCGGATTTTTATAGGTACTACACTATTTGGGTCCTGAATTATTTTAGGTATTACACTAATTCCTGAATATTTTTGGTAAGTACTACATTATACTAATATTTTCCTTCCCATTTGAACAGATTTAGGACTGTATGATCTATTTAGATTACAGGTATGGTTAAAAATATTTTTTAGTTTTTTTTTTCCATTAAAATATAAATTATTAAAATTATGTTGGTAAAAATATTAAAATCATTATATAATATAAATAAATATAACTAAAAAACAAAACAAAAACTACAAAAAACATTTTTAACCATACCTGTGGCCTAAATAGATCATAGATAGTCCTAAGTCTGTTATAATGGAAAAGAAAATGTTATTATAATTTAGTACTTACCAAAAAATATTCAGGAACTAGTGTAGAACCTAAAATAATTCGGGACCCAACTAGTATAGTAATTTTAAATTTGGGACTCAATTCGGATGCAGCTTGTTTCTCAGCGGTTGACAGTCCAAACTCGTTCTATTTACTATTTATTATAAAAAATGCCTAAAGTATCCAGATAAAAAAAACCTGTAAAATAAACCCAATTAATTGATTGAAATTTGTAAGTTGTTAAATAAAGTTGTAAATAAAATTTATTCATTATAATAAGTACCTACAGAAAAATTCTTATTTTTTGTACAAAAAAAATTATTTTTAAAATGCATATTTTGTACATTGAAGTGTATATTTGGTGAATTTTTAGAGCTACAAGTCCTCTGCCCTATTTATAAGTAATAAATGATTAATAACATTATTGAAAAAAATTAATACTTATTAATAATTATAATACGTATAGAATTACAAACTAATTAGGATTCAAATACCAAAACAAAAACTTTTATATTTTTAAATATGAATAACATTGTTCAATGTAATATCTAAATAATTGTTCAAAGGATTTTGAAGGGAGAATTACCTATATTTAACTGACGCCGGCATATGGTTAAAACTTAAAATATTTATATATATACGCAAGATATAAATCGTCGTTTTAAAGCCCCAAATACTTAACCAAAAATAGGAACATGTTAAACTATATGTATTATAAAAAAGATAAGTTTATGTACCTAGTAATAGTAATGACAACTGGTTAAAAATAAACAAGTTATTTACATATATTGAAACATTTTAGCAGATGACATTTTTTTTGTTTTGCTAAAATACAAATTCTGACTTATAAAAAATAATTTTAAATGCGTATAAAGTTATACTAAGAAGGTAATATAGTTTTTAATAGGATATCAGCCAAATGTTTGTAGTTTGATGATATTTGAATTATACGCAATTATATAACATGTTTAAATGTTGCAGTATTATAAAACCATTTGACAAAAAGTCCTTTCAGCTGTCAAAATGTTGTGCATAAAGAACACACATACACGTATGTACTCAAAATAACAAAACACGTCCCACTCGAAACGTTTATACCGTTTGTCGTGGTCGGTGTTTTCGTAATCAAGTCGATTGTTTTCATTACGGATAATAATTATCATTCCCGCTGAATGATAGTATAAGAATACCGTTTTCGTCTATCGGTCGTCAATGACCTCGACAAAGCTATCACACAAATTGGCCGATAGCCGCATTAGAGTGCGGGGCACGAGTGTTCGGGGCGCGACTTAACTGGACAACTTCCGCACACATACCACGTGTATATATTATTATGATGTATGTACAGTGTATACGTAAAACACACCCATTCAATATTATAGCAGGATATAATAACCGTTTCATAACATTTCTTCAACCTACTCTACAGCGCACAACTATAGGCGTGGACGGTAGACGTATACGAGCAACGAATCTCCAATAAAAACATGCTGCTAGATAGAAAGTTCGACGGAATCGAACGATTCGGAACTGAACGTGGCAAAAAATAAATTTATATGCGTGTAAACATGATTAATTAATGTTACTAATTCATAACAATTATTGATTCGCTTAAATTTAAACAAAATAACATTTCTAACAGTACATGTAGGGTCAGCGGCGGATTGGCTAAAAATTTCGGCCCGGGTAATTACCGTATGACCGGCCCACCATAATAATAATAATAATTTTCCATAAAAGTCTCCTTTATTCATGGATTAAATGCTCGTAGAATTGTTTACATCACGTTTACACTGGGTTTTTATCACAATCTTACAATTAAATACAATATACTTAAATACATTATTTTTATAAAATAATTTTTAATCCAAGTACATCGGCCCAGTGGTATAATACGACTACCGGCCCACCGGGAACTTTCCCGGTATCCCGGTGGACCAATCCGCCGCTGTGTAGGGTTACAAAAATGAGAATTTAATAATTGGTAATTTATATAAATAAATTAATATGTTTAGTTTTTGCATACAAGTCTTGAGATATATTTTATATTTGTAGTTAGTGTTTTCAATCATTTAATTTGAATACAAATATTTTTAAATATTACTCTGTATAGAATATTTTATTTAAAATATGTAAGTATGATAAGCTTTAAGTTAAATTTCAAATTAAGAAATTATTTACCATAATTTTTATGACATTTGTCACAAATAATAATTATATTTTATTTTATATTCTGCAACAAAATATATGTTATCGGCAATATGGATAATCCGGTATTTTGCAAAATGCCTAGGCATTATACATTTCAAAAATCACTCGACAATATACATAACACAAGCTTTGCCTAGGTATTATATATAATGCCAATCGTGGAGTAGGAAATATGAAGAAAACAATAAATTGGACATCGCCTATTACCAACGACTTTATTTATCGTTTATCTAAAATGTGCGTTCACGATTTAACGCAATAAAGATTAATATTCCTTTACTACTATAATATTAATTCTGAGATACAATATTGAACGTACTAATAATTTTATTACAATATCGTAATTTTTCTCGTCATTTTCGTGTCTCGTTTTGGTGTTGCAACTATGCATATGAAGTCAAATTTTTATAACTACAATTTTTTTTTTAAAAATTTGGCCGCTAATACTAGTTTTTTATCTGATGAACAGTATAATGAATTGATAAAAATTAAATTCATAAGAATTGGCTGAAGGTTTTTAAAATGTGTTTGTAAGTCCAAGTGTCAAAATAAAGTGTATTTTCCTTAAAAATAATATTTTGTGCACTTCAAAATGTCACTTTTCTACAACATGTCATAGTAAGTGAATAGCAGTTTAAGTAAAATATTTATATAATAATAGATAAAAATTAAATTTTGTCTGTAATATGAGTAATAATGTATAATAATTATAAGAATCTTAATATAATATAACATATAATAAAATGTTTTGTACTTTGGCTAAAAAAAAATTGGCACTTTGCATGATGCCTAGATATTTTATAAAATATCTAGGTTATATGTAAAATAATATTGAAAATCATATGTTTTACTTAAATTGTCTAAAATGGGTTGACAATTTGCATAATGCCTAGGCATTTTGCAAAATACCTGAATTATCCATATTGTCGGTAACATATACATGTACAGTAATCACAAGAAAGGATTTTTGCTTGTTTCAAATACCAAATAAAGAAAATTTCTCTATGAATTATTAATTATTATAAATATAAAGGTTCTAAAAAAGTAATAAGATGCCATACTTCTACCAAAAAAACGATTTCTACTGAATAAACCATTATTTTTATAGTGTTTTACAAATCACAACACCTAATACTAATTATCAGAAACTGTATTATATTCAGATATATTTACTACCCAGCCATACAAATATAAAATAAGTAACAGGAAAAGGAAATGTATTGGTATTTATATACCTAGTTAGCTCTTTTAAAGAAAATAAAATAATGTATTTACTTAATATGACTAACTTGTTAATAGCATGTGCATATGCATAATAAATTAATGATAAAAAGATAAGAAATATATAATAGTATTACAATTGAAATGGAGGGGTGTTAGGTATCAATATGCAATTTTTAATTTTAGTGAATTCAGTTACATGAGGAATAATAAAACAATAGTCAAATAAAACAAATATTTAAAAAACAATATCTAATTTATAGATGTTATTTTTATTATTGTTTTTTTTTTTTTTGTTGTTATTAATATTAAGAAATTAGAAGAATGTAGGAAAATAACATTTTTTATCAGTTTGATTTACTTAGGCATTTCAAATAAAATAAATATTTTGTTCACTTATTAAAAATTACCAAGAATTAAATTCTAATTATTTTATTTATTTTAATTTTATTTTATCTTATAAACCTACAATATTGATTTTAAAATACATCATTGATATTAATAAATATATATGTTGTAAACTGGGCCATAAAATAATTTTTATTAAGTTTAAATATACTCATAAAACTAAGTACCTTATTAGGTATATTTTTTATTACATAGAAAATAGTTTTAATCTTTGTGAAATATTTCTCATAGTTGCACTGGTTATAAACTCGTAAATAATTCACACTATAGATTTATATGTTAGGTAAAATAACAATATAAAATAATTTTTATAAATTTCTTTCACTTATTTTATTTTTTAGATTTAATTATTAAGAAATAATTATCCATATAAGTATATGAACGGTAAATATAATGATATGTTATATTAAAAAAAAAATTTTTTTTTTAATCTTCCCAACTAAAGTTATACAATATTGTCTAAAGTAAATTATTTTAATTATAATACAAATAATTGTATTCATATTCTCCATATCTAATATCATTTAATATTTAATTTTAATACTTCAAATATTTTTTAGGAAGATATATTTACATTATCTTATTTTTTTTTATAACTTATGAATAGACATATCTATTAAAATAATATTTTACTTTATATAATTAAATTATATATTTTGAAAAAGGTACTACATCAACAATAATATGTATCACTCTTGTCATAAATTAAATTAACTAATTTATCAAATAGCTGTAAAGAAAAAATTAATCTATAGTCAACTAAATACTTTTTAATTTTTATGTTCATTAAATTGAGTAGTAAATATAGTAATTCTTAATCGTAATTTTTACATATTACTCAAAATGTAGAAATAATACTACTTACTTATAATTAAGATATTGGTTTACCTAGTATAACTTTATTAAGATCAATAGAAAAATTAAGAATTCAATTTCGAGTAGAACAAAATAATTTTTTTTTCAACAGGTACCTACTTATTATAAATTATAATTAAATAAAAATTGCCAAGGGTCTCGATAGGGATTAACTAAAAATAATAAATTAAATATTTTACTAACCTTAAGTACTTCTTCACTTTCTAATAAAGTTTGTAGTCCACCGTTTTTAATTAATAATGGACAAGCTATTAAATCAAATATAAAACATGATCCATCTTCGTTTACTATTTGCATTAAACTTAATTGACCATTGGCTCCAATACATACTCCTTCAAAATCTATACCAATAGGTAATTTCCGTGATAAAATTTTATCAACAATATTAGAGCATTCTTTAATGCTTATTACAATTGCTTTGACATTATTTAACACTTTTCCTTTCCATGCGTCAACATCATCATAACCATTTGGTGCTTTGTTATTTCTTTCAGTATTTTCAGCGATTGTTTTCATGACTAAACTATTAATTCGTTGTTTAAGAGACTGATTTTTTACTGGTTTAGGAAGAGGTGGTGACATGGGAGGAGTTAATGGTACAACTTCTATCGGAGTTCGAATAATTTTGGCTTCTGGTTTAGGACCATTTTTAGCTAATGTTATCAAATCGGATTGTGTGTTAAACTGATCCGGATGCATTTTTAAGAATGTAAATAAATCTGATGGAGTTTTGAATATTGGAGACCAGGTATTTTCTGTGAAACGCAAAGAAATACTATGAAACAGTTGATCAGTTAACATCGGCCCTTTGCATTCCAAACATTGTACACAAAATACTAGGAGACGTTTTGTAATTTCTGGATCGATTTTTTCTTCACGTACTTCGCTGCTGTCATCATACATTTTACGCTCTAATCCTGCATATTTGGTAAGTATAACAGTGTCTTCACCAACGGTGAACACTTCGGGATACTTCAACAAAAAATCTCTGAACTCTTTAATGTGCAAACCAGATATCAGACGAATCTCAGGTGGCGCTTGAGAGCGGTGTCCAAGTAAGCATCGAATCGGCACTTCGGTTCCAACTCCGTACTTCAATAGTTTATCATTAAAATACTCGACTGCCCGGTGGTTGTAGTTGGTATCGGCTTGTACCGGTGCAACAATCTGAGAAGCAGCGACCAGGTCTCCGTTCAAAGTGAACAACGACGGGTGTTGAGACAGGAACTTTTTTAAGCCTGACTGCGAACCGCCGGCGATCTGTCTCATTTCCTTGGTAAACCCTTTGGAGCCGAACTGACAACTGAGGTCATGCAAGGATCGCGGCGTACCCTTGTCGACCAGTTTCTCGAAGAAAAACAGCAGCGTTTGATTTCTCACCGATTCATATTCAGAGCTGTCCATTGTTCCGTTGTTCCGTATCTTCTTCGGTAAGCGTTTACCGCGCGCTTCGCGGTGGAGGGTGTTGACGGGCGCGGACTCTGATGGCCGTGGCGGTTGCGGTGACGAGAATCAGCGAAAATCCTAGAGTGGCAAATAATGTTGTGTACGTAGGTAGTTGGGAATAAGCGATAGAGGTGAGTATTGTTATTTGTTTTGCTGTCGGTAAGCACAGTCAGAGTTGGTCAGTTGCTGTCGGTGTTGTTGTGCCTTGACGTTACCGGATTTTTCGACGGTCCTTGCTGCCGATCAGCTCCGGTCCGTAGAGCTGACGGTCCATGGTCTACAAGAGAGAGAATGCGACTGAGGAGGTGTGAAACGAAAATAAAAAAATAATGCAAACGAAAAAAAAAAAAACAGTTCGCGTTTGTACACGCGCACCTGCCGACGTACCGAAATACGGAGTACTGACACGAGCGGCGGCGGCGCTAGTGCACTGGCATAGAAAAATGTTGGTCGTCGCCGAGCGGCCGGGTATCGCGTGCGCGCGGTCGGGAGGGGCGGAGGAGTCGACCTTGAGTATCTATCGACGTTGGCAACTCCGCCACGGGGACAAGATAACGCGCGCGCGCCTCGCCACCGGTTATCGTGGCGACGAGAACCGTGGTAGATAACGTGGAAGACTATTTTGTTACTACTCATTATTACTATTTCATTATGTACGAGGACGGAAACCACAAGCGCTCCGATAGTGTAATGACGATTATTTTTACCGAAGTAAAACACGAAAAGTATTAATTACGTTTCCTGTTGTTTTCAGCACCGTCGTGTTGAAAAACGAAGTGATCGGTTCGCGGAGTCGACAGCCTTTCGGTGCAATCCGTTTTGCGCGAGAGGTACAGGTAAACGCGCGCACAAATGTTTCTCTTCAAAAGTTCTTTGTTTATTTATTTATTTATTTTTATCGATTTCGCCGTGACGTGAGTAGCGAGTGGGTACCTGCCGTTTTTGTTTTTCGAAGCGCCTCGCAACAACTGCTGCTCCGCTGCGGTGGATTTATTATTATTTCCCTCTGTTCCGACACGCACTGCGTGCGGTTTTGTTATTATTACGCACAGGTGACGGCCCGACAGGTGTTTTATATATTTTTAAAATCGGTCCCCTCGACTCCGCGCACCGAACCGATGGTTGTTGTCACAAATGTTGACTTGTTTTCGCGACGGGGAAGGGGTTCCCTGATACCCCCCCCTCCGGAAGGAAAATTAAGGTTACGGTTTAAGGTGGGCTCACACGATGATAGTCACTCTTGCGATAGTCGTGATAATAGTGCGAGAGCTGATCTCGTTATAGTTCGATAGTTATTATTAACGTGTTCGCGCGGCGATAGTATTCGATGGTACTATCGCGAGAGTAACTATCATCGTGTGATCAGTGCCGTAGGAAGACTTGCTAGCGCTCCTGGCAAACTTAGAAAAATTTACCTTTCTAACCAATTAAAATTTAATGTCATGATATTTTTTTTTCAACCTTTAATTTTACTAATATTTTTAAGTATACAATTTATACTTATAAGTTATTATTACAGTGTTCATTTTAAACTTTGAAAATTTGCTTTTCTCGCTTTACGACTGGTAAATTCATCGATAATTTCTTCATATGAAATTTTTTTAATTAAAATACCCTATTTTCATAATTTCATCTTTAAATTGACACGTAGTGTGTACAAATAGACAATATCTACGTATTTCAAAAATTATAATGAAAAATTGTCGATTTGATTGTGGGATAAAAATACGACTTTTGCACAATTTTGCGCCCCTGGCATAGGCATAGTTCGCCATACCCTTGCTACGCCACTGCGTGTGAACCCGGTTTTAGCGATATTTTCTATAAATAAAAACTAACAACTGCAGAAATTATTGATGAACTGGCAAAAAAAAACGTTTATCTTTTTTTTTTATTCGAAATAACTCTTCATTTGTATTTATAATAATAGAATATAATAATTAATTCATACTTCACGTGTATTGTTTATAATATTATAAAATCATATATTTTTTAAAAACATTTTCCCCACCACACATCCACAGTTTGAAATACGCCACTGTACAACGTTACACAATCTATTATATATTGTTTCTGATCAGAAAAATATAAAAACTGAGCAGTTGTTCGTCCGACTACCGACGATAACAATAGTCCGTGGTCCGAACTCTTCTTGTAATGTTGTTGGTTATTTTTTTCTTACATTCAATTTCATTCAATAATGAGATTTTCTTAGCAATACAATGATATGTTCATCATAAGATATATTTATTTACTCTTGACGATTGGAAAAACAGTGTTTTGAGGGTGTATGGGACGTACGGACGTCTGATCAACAGACATTTTTGTCTACTAGTCTAGTGTTTTTCTTCATTCATTCATATCACAAGTTCGACCTTCGACTACAGAAGTTTATCTATCATGTATGTTCCGATTTAAATTACACATGTTATTTTGCGGGAGCCGGTTTCCTTCGACTAGTTCACAATTGTAAATATTATGAAATGCTGTACAATAAATGTGGTTAGGCTTCCAAGTACAGAGAAATTTGATTTCATTGGATAGTCAAATCTATCGTTATCGCAATCGATTCGTTTATAGAATGCTGTAACACATTCGGACTAATAATTTGTTCTTTACCTGCTTCATATACCGTAAATAATAAAAAATAATTAAAGAAGAAATTATATAAATAAGAATTTATAAACGTTGCGAGTAACTCGTGTGCGAAAAATGAAAGGAGTTATATCTGATTTATTCACAGTAGATTATATTGATTTTGTAAACAACAACTAACAATTAGCTACTAAATGATATAAATTAAAACATTAATATATTATGATATTCATCATTGATTCCTCACAACTATATATGTTATTATGATAACTAATTGAATAATAAATTTAAGGAAATATTTATGTAAGTAGATATATATATATATATATATGCATTGATGGCATAGGAGTGTGCAGACCTGTATTTCAGTAGATGTCTACTATACTTTTAAGCCTTATCTTAACAAAACGAGAAAACGAGTATTTAATATTTAATTAATTATAATGTATAAATAATTAAATAAACAACACTTTAATTTTTTATTTAATATTGTGGTAATTAGCCTCAATGAATGTTTTCCTTGAATTTCGTATATTTTTCTCAGGCAGTTTCTATTATTTATGATTTGTATTTTTGTAGTCAATTCTAGCTGTTAAATTAACATAGGAAGTTTTTGCACAAAAATTTAGAAAATATAGTTTTACTTTTTTCTTTTACGAAACATAATTTATTTTCACCGAATATTTTAAAATAAATTACATTTAATTTAAGTAATATCAGTTAAAATACAGGTCAGTTATTCTAAAATATACATTTTAGGGCTCTATTTACAATATTTGTGGGGGGGAGTCCGGCCACATGCGACACCAACCGTGCGTACGCATTTGATTGATGGTAGAAAAACGGATGTCGAATGTCAACATCTGCAAAATGCAAATGTTTGTGTGTACTTCAAAAAGATATCAATCAAACTCAACGATTTAGAAATTAATTTAGTGAATTAATACATCACAGCTCTTGTGAAATAAATCATTGAGGAATTTAATTAAATCATAATACTTTAGGTACTCATATAAGTTAGTACCAAATTTAAAATTGTATGGAATGAAAAAAAAATGCAATTTATTAACTTTTAATATTTAATTAATTAACAAAGTGTATAGCTGTATGAAGTGCGAACGAATAAAAATCATTAAAATAATTAACTAAATAAATTTTAATGTTTATAAAGTTTAAATTATTTATGAGTAAAGCAGATCTATATATCTTAAAGAATGAAAAGAGCAATGTTGGGCATAGTGCTTATGATGACCAAAATTATTCGTATGAAACTAAAAAAAATTAATAAAAATTTGAAATTTAAATCACATTGTTATAATCCAGAACGAAGCTAGTAATTTTCAAGAATTAAATTTAACTATAATTAATAACCACGAGTATATTGATCGACGGGTTGTGTGTATGGATATATTTTGTCACTTTTCTATTCATACCAATCATCGGAATTCAAGTACCTATACAGGGCCGCCGCTAGGGGTGAACCACCCTGACCTACGCCCAGGGCACTTGTCGAAAGAGTGTTTCAATAATATAACGATAAAACTGAAAAAAATATAGGGGAATATAACTCTATCCATTCTATTAACTATTATTTATTATTATAGGTATAGAACAATTTAGTCCATTTATATTAAATTATTATTATTGTCAGTCGCCGTTCGTAATCGCTATTTATTTAAAATTTAATATTAATAGCATCAGATAACGATTTAAAATAAAAATACTTCTAATTATATGGTAAAGGGCACATATTTGTTTAGTCGCTCAGGGCACCAATGACTACTCATAGTCGTCCCAAGAGGGGAGGTAAATTAGGCAAGTGCCCTAAGGCGTACAAAATATAATGAATTTAGGAGCGTCATAAAAATTAATGATAATTAAGAAAAATTAGGTTTTTCATTTTAGATAGGTAAGTATTAATTTTTCTTTTATACTGAAATATTTGAGTACCTATATAATTTTACAATATACAGTTGTCGTCGCTTAATGTTATCATTGTTAATCAATCGCTTATTGTTATCGAAAAGTGTAAGTACGAACTAGATGTAAACTTATATGTGTAAATTATGTCGGTTTTTGTAATCATACGCCGCATAATATTATCAGTTTGAGGTCTTTTGAGAAAATGTTATCAATGATCTCTTAACGGAACAAAAAAAAAAAAAAAACTGTCATCAATAAAAAAATATTTTTCAAATTAATAGTACAATAGTAAATTAGTATTATTAGTTATTGGTAGTTAATATGTACATATGTATTTATAATTACATTTTTTTTTTTAAACAATTTTAAATTTTTGTATATGTACATACTTCAAATAGTAATAATAAACTATAAATAATAATATATAATAAATATACAATATAATAAAATATAAATATTACAAGATTAAATTTTTATCTTTCATTGTATATCCTGATCGATTTAAAACAAATATTACCAAAAATATGTTTATTACGTAAATAGAGTGATATTAGTAAGTAAATATTCCGTCATCACTACACGAAGATATCACTGCGTTGACGTATTGATGTAACATAATAAAATAATAACTTCAATTAAAACTACTCAATATATTTTGCATTTCTTCAACGTACCGGTGGATATTAGCGATTTGAAGATTCGCATGGCAGTGATCAATGCCCTCGGATGTAAGGACGCAATCCGGTCAATAACAATTCGTTATGAAGTTCTAAAGTTATTAAAATCAAAATATACAGTTTATAAACATGTTTGTTATGTTTTAATTATAAATACTTATATGTATGTATGAAAATATATTTCAATAATATTTTGCGTAATATTTTCACCCATTTTTGGTAATATTTGACTTATACCTAGTTAATTATTTTTAATCTGGTGATCTTGATCGTAAATCAGATTCAAAATAACTATTTATTATTTTCTACTCACGACTGCTAATGGTATTTTAATCTAGGAATAAAAGTATAGAAAAAAAACATGCAATATATTTGGTTTACTAAGCGTTTTTCTACGACATTTTCTTTACGTTTAGTTTCTACTGTAGATTCTTTCAAAGTTAGTTTTTAATTTTAATTAAATAAAAATGTATTTACATGTAAACACACTTATAATTTAAAATACCAAGTATTTTTTAAGTACTAAATATTAGTGTATAATGGAGTGCATAAAAATAAAGTCATTTTTATAACCACTACTTCTTGCAGTCATGTGATTATATCAGTTTTGATATTTAGCTGATCTCATAAAATTGGCTGTTCTGTAACCGAAGTGGCCAATATAGTCGGTGAAGTTGCTGCTGGTCCTCCAAATGATGTTATGAAAATATTGACAACAGTTATGAGGAAAATACCGACTATAACGTAGTTTCCTAGTTTAAAGGCCATTATTCGTTGCTCACAGTTAGTTACATTGTACCGAGCACTCAATAAAAGCGCTACACCTACTAATATCTATAAATAACCAAATAAAATGATTAAGAATTATATTAGAGCGATTAAAATAATCGATTTATATAATAATTACCTGTAAAAATATGCTAGTTAGTAAAAGTATGATACAAATTATGTAAACGGCGCTACCATCACTAGCTTCCAAGACATATCTTAGTTGATTAGCATTTGCCGAAAACAGTGCAACATCCATCATACCGTGAGATATTAGCTTTTTATTTCTATACAGATTAAAAGCTTTCGGGGTGTCTTCATCCATAATCCCAATCGTCTGAAATATAATTGATACTTATATTAACTGTTTGAGTTTTTACAATTCATTTAAAAAACTAAAACTAAAAGTCATTTCACCGACAATACCAAAAACTAGAAACGGTAAATTGTTTTTCTTTAATCAATAACAAATGTGTATAAAGAACTTCGTATTACATTTTCATTTTATGTCAAATAAAAATTATTTTATTAAAATTTTTAAAAACATAGGAATTTCAATTTTGCCCAAAAATATTTAATATTTTGAGATTATACCATCTGTATCAAGTGGTGATATAAGAATTCTGTAAACATTTTATGTGTCTACGATTATTATTTTTTGAGTTACGATGAATACAAATTTTTGATTTTGTCAAAAAATGGTACACAGCAAATGTTATCTTATTTTATAATTTTTCGTTAGTTTTTTGCAATTTTTTAGAAAATTTGGGAAATTAAAAAAAATTATTTCACCAAGTTAGCCTTTCCTATATTGTTCTTTTCATTTGGTGAACTCGGAGCAGTCCTGTCGAAATAGTGTACACAAAAAAAAAAAAAAATGGTTAAACATGATTAAACCAATACATTCCTCATTTCACTCAGAATTTAAAATAATTTAATGAATACTATAGAAAAAAAAAAATCAAATATTTATAGTAACAACTGTAATTATTATAGTATAATAATCGTTTATACGTAGTCATATGATGTTTTTTGATTTTCGAGACGCGTTTTAATAATTAAATTAAACGTAAAAAGTTTGTTTGTACTTCTTACCTGGTCGATCACAACATCTTGATTTGGTTGAAAATTGTCGTCATTTTTTGGAATTTCTTTGTCGGCTTGATTATCTGTGAATGAAATTCTAGAATCTTTTTCATTGTAACCAATCGCATGATTATTTGTCTTCAAACTTTGTGCATTCATGTCATCCATATTTATCTCATGTGGTCTAGGCCCAGTGAGTTTCGTGTCTGACTGTTGAGTTTGTTCCGGTATATGAATCAACTTGGGCTGGACAATGTTACTGTATTTGATCGCTTGATACCTATCGATTGACTGTTTACTCGACATTATAGCTTATAAAATGACGGGATTGCTGACATTGACAAGTCGCAACTGTATGCAAGTGTTTAAGAAATTATATAATGTTTATTATAAGAACGAGTTTCCACCTGTGAACATGATTTCCAATATTACTTTTGCACAGGTTTTTCTATAAATTATTTATAGTGTAGGGGATAAAGTATTGTGTAGTAGTCTATTTTTTTAATTTGCTGTTTCGTCAAACAGTATCTGTAAGAATTTATTAACCTTGAAAACATGTGCTCAAGAACTTGGCGAATAATAAGTACGACATATAGGTTTTAAGTAATTTTCGTTAGTTTTCTTTATTGTTGTTTATTAGAATTTAATTATTAAAAAAAAAATTGCATAAGTTTTTCTGATATAATGTTGGTATTTAATCGCAGGTGCGCATTGTTATTATGTATTTATGACATAAGTGATTCTTTGTTCGAGAGATAGGTATGCAAAGTAATTAGCCGTAGCTATCTTTCGGTGCGATACTATAGTAAAGTAATGAAATGAATGAGGTGACGACCGTCCGACTATTCAGCAACCAAACAGTATTCTATCAGTATGTGTTCCAACTTCCAACTACCGATTGACCTAATTAAAAAATAAATCTACAGCTCTCCAGTACACCGAATCAGAGAGCTCAAAATCTGTACAAGTTGAATAAAATAAATATAAATAAACCATTAAAATGTTGATTTTTTTAAAAAAAATTAATTATGAATGATTAATTGCTTAATAATATACTAACATTCATAAATTTCAAGTACCACTCACTGATTGACTCATCAGCATACTATTACCATACAACTATAACCATATAGCCATATTTACCTAACCGATTTATTTGAAATAGGTTTGAAATATTTGAAATATACATGTTTATATTCAAATCGTATTAGCTACATTTACTCTATTGTTGTTGTTACAATATGTATTGTTATAAAAATTATTTTGTTTGAATTATAGTGTTATGGTTGTTAAAATAACAATAAGCTCGTGTATTAAGAAATTTTTTTTTTTTAATTATTTTTTTTATAAATATTAAATATATAAACACAAGTTTTTTAAAATACATTTCAATGTTCAAATATTGATTCAAGAAAAATATTTACCATTATTTCCGACAAAGTAGTAAAATATGCATTAAAACTGAAAATATGATTTATCCCAAAAATTATACCATGTACAAAGAATTATTTTTAGAAAAAACCTTGTGTTTTAACAACAATGTGATAAATCGTATCTTTAATTTATCTAGAATCATCTTCATATTTACTTATACAATAAGATTAATTAGAAAAAAAAATTAAAGTATTCAAGTAATACTAAATTTATTTACATAATTCAAATTTGAAAATTTATAAAATTAATTTGTGAAAGAAGATTTTATTGATATGTTGTAATCTATGAGTCTGAATTTTGATAAATAAGTACATAATAATGATTACGTTTCTAAAATTTAGAGGTCGAAGTGTGAATTTTAATTTATAGAGAACCGTGATTATTATTTGGTAAATATTTGAAATGGTGACAGGAATCTAAATTCAAAACATCAGTCGACAATAATTTTACATTACAAATCATCAAATATTTAAGGGATAAGCGGGTACAATAGAAACGAAGAAAATTTGTATTATTTTTGGTTAGAGGTTGTGTTTTGGCCGCCGAAGGCCAATGGTACTCACAGAGGGGTGGCAAAGTGGCCATTGCCTCTCTTGGGAATTGCTCGCGATATGTACGTTAATATCACGCATATGGAATTCCAGTTAAACAGCAAATATAAAATATTTCTAAAATAAAACTTTTTCGTGCTTATCAGTAATTTTAGGAAAAATATAATCGTCAGTTATAAAATTATGGATACTTTTATATTTAAATTCAATGACTACTGTACAATTTTTAGTTTGCTTATGGGTAATTGTAAAATATTAATTTATTATAGAGTCACTAATAAACAATATGATATAGGTAATGATTTATTTACAGTATAAGAATTGATTAATAGGCTATTGGTGAGTCGCGGCTCGACATGTCATAACGTATTGGAGACTGGTGAATTGTGGCCCGGTCATATTTTATCACTAAGTTAATTGCGGCCAGGAAAATTTATTTATTTTGTGCCGGCAGTTTCGGTAGCATCTTTTCTAAAGTACCATAACGTTGATAGTTTAAACGAAAAATATTACAGTGTTCTGTTCACCACTCAGTACATAGGGATGGCAAAACATTTTATGCTGATATATCGGTTCAGAAAATATCGATATATCGATAATTCAAAAAAAAAAAAAATTATAATATTTATTGTTCTTTTTTTGTTTGTCATTACTAGAGCTCAGAAGTTGATTTATTTCGCATTGTTTTTTAAGTTCTTAGATGATTTCTTAACTGAATATTGTTTTCGATAGCATGTAACTTAACTTGAAATAATTTATTTTATATTGCATTTTCTAACTCATTTTTTAAAGTTTGTAAATACCTAGCGAAAAATCGAAGCCAATTATTCTCTACGAAGGCTACAAATTTCAAAGTTTAGGACTCACGAAAATGTATAACACAAATACAGATGAAAGTTACCTATTATTTAAAATTTTTTTTTGGTTCGCCATACTTGTATTCTTACAACATCCTACATTGTTTCACGGGTGACTTTTTAAGAACACTGCCCGCTAAAGATGATCGGGTTGTACAATTTACCGACTATATTTTCGACAAATATATAACCCCGGACGCTATGTTTCCCCAAGTATTTGGGTACAGTTTTCTGCTAGCTGTAGCCGTACTACTAACGACTGTAAAAGTTTTCATTCACACCTAAATTCATCGTTCTACTCTAATTATCCTAATATCTTTAATTTTATTTATGTATTAGTAGAAATTCGATCAGAAACGTTTATCAAATGGAAAAGCAATGGAATAAAAACGAAGAAAATATGTGAAAAAGAAGCATTTATAAGACAACAGATAACAAAGCCAGCAAAAAAATAAATAAAGCAGTTTGATTTCGTTAAATCATTAAGTTTTAAGTTTCTGTCCAACCAATAATCTAAAAATATTCATACTACCATAAATTACCATAAATATTGCTATTTTTACATAAATAATAATAAATAATAAAAAAAACAAATTTTTGAGAGTCGACTCAGCCAACCACGTCGTGGTGTCTTCTAGATAACGCTGATAGGCTAATATGAAGTGATAAATAAAATGTGGCCGCAACTCGTACGTCTGTTTTATAAACAGAGGCTGCAACTCGTACTTAATTAGGGATTGGGCCGCAACTCACCAACACTGGACTAATATTATTTCAATTGATAAAAATATCAGCGAACAGGTTTTAAACGTTTTAATGAAAGATATAAAACAGTATGCTGATTAATCTACAATTGAATACAACAGAATTTCAATTTTTCTTCTATATTTGGACTTATTAATACCATGTTAAAAATTTTGTTAAAAAAAAAAAAAAAAAAAAATGAAGATTTTTTTAATATTTTTACATCCAAAAAAATTTAAAATAGTTTTCTAGAGAGGAAATAAATGAGTGTCACAATAAAATAAAATTGTGATGCATTTGTTAAAAATTTAATTGACAAAGGTTTAGTATGGTTTAATATATTGAGTTCAAAATAATTGTCAGACACGATGGATTTCATTGACGTTTTAAAGAAAAACGAATTACTTAAGTAATCAGAAGGAATTATTTCTATACAAACATGTGCTACGATAGAATTCTCACTTTCAGCAACAATTTGCTGTGTTGAAAGATCTTTAGTATTTAGTATTAAATTTAGAGGTTTTCTATAATTAATTTATAGTTAATATATTAATATATGTATATTAATATAATTAATTTCAAATATAAATTTATTTTTTACCTTCCAGTTTAAAAATCTTTTTTATTTCATAAATCTTAAAACTATTATTATTATTATTAATTATTAATTGTTCATCAAAAAGATTAAAAACATGCACCAGTAAAATAATCTATGAATATAGATTAAATGGATTAGCTATATTATATAATAATTATATCTTTTTAAATGTCATTATAATTATTATAATGACATTTAAAAAATTAAAGAAAAAGTTATCGAAGATGTATTACAATTTTTTTGTTTGCAACCAAGACGAATTCGATTTTTATTTAATAATGAATAGTGTTTAAATATACAAAATTTGAATAAAGATAAGAATATTATACATGTAAAATAAATAAACAATTAACTGTGTATTATTATTACATATTACTATTACTACTATTTTTTTATTTGGTATATTACATCATAAGTAATTTTAATTTTGCCTTTGGGGGGTTTTATCCTAAAAATGCACTTCCTGAGAGTTACGTAAGATTTACTAGAAATTATTCAATGCTATCACTATTTATTGTAAATGTACGATACTATAACTTACCGTTTTAACGTTTGTATGTTTTTTTTTTTTATTCGACACGTTCTATGGAAGTGGTTGATATTGGTAAGGTTATTTTTGTTTCGTCGGGACGAAATTTCTTCCACTGTGGTGATTAAGCATGAAAAAAACGAAGAAAGAACTTGTCGAACGTAGTTTTACAACGGGACGATAACACATTACACCGGCATACTGGCCATCGATCAAGGACACGCGGAATAAAAGTAGTCCGCGATAACGGTCAAAAATAAATGTGTGTAAGCGAAAACGAAAATAATAACATTAACCGATGGGAGAATCGCTATATACTGAAAATAATATTTTTAATCGACGGAATAATTCATGAAACGTCTATTGGTACTGTAATCAACTTATTTTATCAAATGATGCTGAACATTACGTATTTATTATCAACAACGCACTATTTGCGTCATTGGCACATAAACAATCTGTTAAGTTATAAATTGTGCCATTTTTATGATATGTTGTTCTGTGGTATAAAAGCGAGACCTGAACCACTAAGATTGTTAGTTATTAACAGCTACAAGCTAATGCTTACAAGTAAATATTTTTGTAACAAGGATTAACGGTAGTATTTAGTCTTACTGATTAAATAATATTATTGTTGTTAAAAGTATTTTGTTTAATTGTTGTATAAAATAAACTATAATATTTTCTTACGTTTGTGTTATTGCTCGTTGTAATCGCATTGATCACTACATCGTCTATTGGAACTTATTCAACTAGCAATGTTTGATTCATGTCTGCGTTTGTTTATTTTGTGAACCGCATTTGATTCTGAACTAAATGAACGTTTTACTACTGGCGCACATCTGTTATAATTTGTTAATACGCATTTGATTCGGCCTCAATAGTTTTATTAAATCAGAAAATAACTGATAGAGGTTTCCGGGTCAGTATAAGCCAATCATAACAAAATGTTTTAACCGATGCATACGAATTGCCTCCCAAAACTGGTTAGGTTACTTTTTATCAATCGAATTGCCTTCAAATATTTGGCCATATCGCCAAATATGTGTAAGTTATAGTGAAATATAAATAAATAAATAATTTATATCTACTGTAAATTTTATTTTAATGTTATAAATCTATTTTTTCCAGCAAATGCAAATAAATGTACAATTTTGTTTGTATCGAAAAATATTTATGCATTTTTTTCTATGTATAAAATGAAGGTAAAAGTAAATCTCTCCTGAATCATTGTGGTTCGAAGCCAAGTTTTAATTCATCTCATTGCAGAAAAACTGCGATTTTATTGACTTTGTATGTACCAGACGATGAATTTTTAATTTGAAACCGGCCGAACTTTACAAATATGATAATAATATAGACTAAGCATTTTTTATTAATTTATATAAACTATTTGATCATTGAATTGTTTATTAATTATTTTATGGTCTATTATGTGTTTAAATTAGTTATCAGTAACCTATCACTGTCGAGAATCAATAGAAAAAAAACGTAAATTTTTGATAAAATGATACGAATAAATTATGGTTTGGTAATATTGAAAAATGAATGAGAAACTAACACATATTTTGAAAGAACTTGAACCTTCTAGAGAGGGACTTCAACATTTTCTGAGTGAAATTAAGTCACCAATGTCCCCTCCAATATTCATCTTTGTACATAGTATACTATTTTAAACGAAATAAATCTTTAGAATAGTATATTCATTATAAATAATATACTGTCGCGTATATTAACATTTGAATCATTATAAATCAGCAAGCTGTTTCACCTGTCAAATCGTACGAATCGACTTTTAATCGACAAACGTACACGAAGGATGTATTTTATGTTGCTCGTCGTAAAGTCGCCCCATTACAACTGCTTCGAACATCGGCGATGGTTATAAATAGAAGACTACGAGTATTAATGACTTGTATTGATAAGCAAAATCATGGTTTTCCGATAAAATTATTGCGTTTACAAAATGCTCATTATGTAAAAAACCTTTAATTTATCTTGATATACGATTGCGGTATTGCATAGACTAATGTTCGCTAATTATTTTAAAAGGATGTGCTAATTATTATCTCTTATAGTATAAGAATTATAATAATTATAATATGAAACACGAGGTTGCCGCTCTAAAAATATTAGACGGCGCTCTGTACAGGCAATTTAGATACATTTTGTACAATAAGCTACACTATTTATGTTCGCCGTAGAACGTTTCCATAACACAAATAATTCAGATTTTGCTTTGTTGGGTTCACACAGAAAGAAAAAATTAAATTAAACAAAATATAAATTCGATTTTTTTTTTAACACTTTAAAACAATAATGATTTTCATTAACATTTAGAATTCGTGTCTCGTTCAATACGGGACATTTTGTCAATGTTTTTTTTCTTGTTTATTTTCGGGTGTGTGTTAACACATTGGTTTAAAAATAAAACTCCCGTGAGTCCAATCTATTTGTAGACTAATCAAATGAATGTGTTTAATATAAATGTTCAAAGTTTTATTTAAGAAAATTGAAGAAATGTGAAAGATTATAAAAAACGTTCCGTAAATCACTGGTATTGTGGTATGCAAAAAACTTAAATCAAAAAAACCAATTAATAACAACTGATGCGTTGTAACAAATTGTGATCACATTAAATACCAGGCTAAATGATCGTGAATTAACGAAATAAAACGAGGAATTTAAAAAAAATATATTTATGATAGGTAGTTGAAAAAAATACAATGTTTGCATTTTGTTGAGTTTTACTTAATTCAGGTCGGGTAACTTTTTTATTTTATTTTATTGTTTTTTCTAATAATAAAAAAATAAATTATGATTTTATGTTTTTGCAAGAACTTTGTATGCACTCGGCAAAACTGTACTGAATATATTGAATCACGGCTCTGATTGTTATCATTACGTCATTATAGTTGTACGAAACAAATGTTATAAAGCAGATTCGTGTGTTTCGTACACGAGGGTAGCAGTATAAATGTTAACATAAAAAAATGAATCATAAAGACATATATTAAATTCAATCGTGATTTTTCTCTTAGACAGGGTAAAAAATAGTCATCAATCAACGAAAACAAAAATGGAATAAAATAAGAAATATCTGAAATACAAAACAGAACAATAAGTTTACAATAAATATAAATTATTTGAATTGTCTATTAATCTTTTACCTTGAAAATTGCACTGTACTATCAGACATTTTCTTATGTTTTCAAACGTAAAGCTCTGGTGGATATTTGATAGAAAATTTATTTATTTTGAAAAAATTCGTTCCACATTGGCGAATGAAAGTGGTGCATACTTAAAATATACTAGATCATCATTTATTAGATATTGAGGAAATAAAAAAAAAAAAATACATGGCATACAATAAGATTTATGAGTAGGTATGATATCACATGCAAACAATCCAATTTTTTTAAATTTAAATTTATAAACTAAAAATATAAATAACAATAGCTATACGAAAGTGTAAATGTTTTTTCAGGCAATACTGTAATCTTCTAAACCTCTAATTTCATACTATAACGTATTAAAAACTTCTGGTCGTTCCTCTTTACTACCTAACTTGATTAATGATTGTTTTTATGTAAAATTAAATATGCCATCAGTATCGGAATATAATCCACAGAATCCTGTATAGTCATGGTTGAATGAAAGTCCTAGTCACGGCGAAGCACATGAAAAAGCCACCGACCAAGAATGATATCAAAGTGTTTTTCCTCAGGCAAAAGTTGATGACAAACATTCCAATGATCTAACTCTAAACAATAAAATGTATTCATTTTAAATTGTTTTACATTAGTATTAATATTTTAATATTAACTTATATTTATTTTGTGGTATTTTTTTTATCGGGAAAATCTAGCAACGGTAACATTGAAAAAATAGTGTGAACCCTGAAATCTGATATTTTAGGCCTAGACACCAACTACGAGGTCCTCACTTTGTTTTTAATTGACTTTCTAAATCATGAATTGATGGTTTATTTGTTTTGAAAAATTATTTGTGAAGACTTTTGAACTTGCCATTTATTGTACTTATAGCACAAGATAAAAGTTTTTCTATTACCTACAGTTAACCATGCAATGGCACGGTACATCTATTAAGGATCTAATCACAATGGAATATTTTTTTTTTCAAGAATCGGTAAGTGCTTTCATCATCTGATACATTTTGATCACGTGTGATATAAGATGTTGTTATCTAAAATATACAATTGTAGAGTTTGCGTAAGCCAAAACGACAATGATGGACGATTAACGACGGGTAAAAGAATTATAACGGAACAAATATAACATAAATAATATAATATAACATCAATAAATCAATATTTTACTATCAACAACTAAATATAATTATTTAGCAGTATATTAAATTTGTATTCATTTTTTTTTTCAACATTTTAATCATGAAATTTGTTCACAACGTACTAAAACACATATAGATGGTAAGATATCTCAATATATGTTTACTTTTATTTTCATCGTTTTTTCACCTATATCATATTTAATATATATATTTGAAAATTAATTATTCTATGAAAAATATTAAGTATAAAAATGTTATCCATATCTGTACATTATATACTAACTAAATACAATATAATATTCTCTGTTCTCCAACAAAAACCTACGAACTAAAGATAAATATAAATTTAAACAGATATTTAAAAATTAATTAATCGTAAAATTAATAATCACATGGTTTTCATTAAAATGTAAAGATTGGCAAGATATGTTTTCAATGCTTCAAATATTCACATTATGAAATTCCGTTCACTAATTTGTCTTTTGGTTGTTCAATCGCTAATATACCGGTTTCCTTTTCCTAAAAACGAAAGAAATTAAATCGTTCAAATTACGTTTAACGCTAAATATTAGGAAAATAACAATAATGATGTTACCTTTTGCCCTAGAATTGTCAGTTTCCATCCGCCTTCACCGTCAAAATGTAATATATGCGAGTGGAATTTCCTATAATCAAAAATAATTAGGAAATGAATTACACTACCATGGTAGATTATTATATGTGTAAATGTAATATTGTTTCAGCGGCGCCGAGAAGAAGAAATCAGTTTAGGGTGGTTTATTTAAAAAATCTAAGGAAGAGAGTTTAATCAGAAAAATTGTTCTGTTGATAATTTATAATTAAAATTGAAATGTTTTTTTTTTCTCTAGTTTATTTGCAAATTTAAACTGTATATTAAATCAAAGACCCGATCCGGGATAATCTTACTAAAGATTATTTTAAGATTAAGAAATCAAATTTTCATAGTAGGTTACCATCAAGTTTTTGAATTATTGCTTATTATTCTACTATTATTATTATTAATTGATTTTTAAACAGGAGGAAATCGTTTAAGAATTCTATCAGTTTTTCGTTCTTCAACGCGAGAATCGGATTTAAATCACAAAAAAAATTGAGAAAAAAAAAATCAGTAAAATACCGAAAGAAGATCTGTTGAAAATAATTAAAACTTTTGAGAATATTTTGGATTAATTAAAAGTAATAAGATGGTAAATAGTTAAAGGCGTAAGACTACATGATCGTAGCGACTTTCGCGACCAATAACAGTAATGCTACAAAGTCTCTAATCCCTCAAGCCGCATAGGAAACGATTTCTGCGGGTCGGTTATCAACTGCCTACTGCTATACAACCACAGATACGCAAGTAAAATATACTAGATCGGTGATTAGTGAAAACAGTTGAAACCACTTCAACTGCCACATAAGGTAAGGACCAATATCACCAAACCTATAGGGGCTATATAACCCAAGAGGGGCTAGGAGGGTATCAAAAAAAAAAAAACAATTTATGTAAGTTGAGTAACAATAATTTTTGCTTCCCCCTTCCGCCAAAATTAATTGTAGTTCGGCGCCACTGGTAAGGACACCTGCTGATCTAGCCAATATCGTATAAAATGTCGAAACGTATCGACGTCGGTTATCGTTTACCATAAGGACGGTCGGTGAGTGATGGTGAGCAGTGTGATGCCGCAGTCCTTGGCCGACTGGTACATGTCGCTCTCAACGTCTATGCTCACGGCGCTGGTGCATTCGTCGAGTAGGGCGAACGACGGTCTGAAAGGAGAAACAAAACGGATCGCACGGTTAACAACAGCGCAGTAGTCAGTCTCCGATCGTATTGTACACCGAGTGCCATCGGGTGTTCGAAACATGGGCACTGACCGTTTTGGATCCAAAGTCTTCGTAATGCGTGAGTCTTAGGTTGCGAGGAATGGGGGGGGGGGGGAAGAGAGCCACTGTCATGGCTAGTATGAAATATGAACGATCACGCGCAGTGGTGACAAGGTGTTAAATTTCTACGCTTCACGATCGTATTCTGTTCGGATCCATCCGGTGTGCGTACGATCTAAGGGTGTGTCGTCATCGAGAGGCAGGAGACGATTTACTCACTTGTGGTAGAAAATCCTGGCGAACGCCATTCTCTGTTTTTCGCCGCCGGACAACACGTCCTTCCAGTCGGCCATCACATCCCAGCCACCTTCCCTTTGCACCAAATGGGACAGGTGCACCCGGGCTAGGCACGCCTCCAGGTCTTGTTCAGTAACACCTTTAGACAGCATGTCCGCCAGAGTGTCAGGATAGATGACTTGTTCCTTAAGGCTTCCTAAAGTCATGTAAGGCCTGTGGACAAACACGTGGAAAACAAAACGCGTAAACACGTATCGCAGTATTAAACAATACCAATAACATAAAATTCGGGTCACGGGAAGTATAAAACATATCAATGATTACTGTGTATTAATTTAGTAATAGGAAATAGCTAATACAACATTTTAGCACATAAGAAAACAGTTGTAAAATAATCAATACTATCAACTACCATGTAAGCAATAATTATGTTTAATTATGTTAAACATATTTGTAAAAAGGAGAAGAAACATATGCTTTACATTAATTATTACCTTAATTCAAGTTGTATGTTTGTGTATATGCGTACGATTCGATTTAATTAAATTATATACATATGAATTTATCGAAGTGTTTCACTTAACGCAATAAATTGTTTTTGTGATTTCGTCACAATCGACAAACGCTACACTTTATACACACGTTAAACGATTCATGTTGCGTAATTTTTTCGTTCTAACCAAAACTGGATTTAATTAATCCTCGAGGGAGAGGGGTTGTCCCGAAACCCTTCCACATCCTATTCGTACGAGCCGCTGATCGCGTTACGTATTGGTTTTTCGTACGATTAGATCGTGACGTTACCTTTGCGGTATGTAGAACATGCAACAGTTCGGCGGCCTGATGAGCGTGCCCGCGTAGACGGGCCATAATCCGCTCAGGACCCTGAACAATGACGATTTGCCGCATCCGTTAGGACCGGTGATCAGTAGGTGTTCGCCGGGTTTCATCGTCAACGTCAAGCTCGAAACGATCACGTCGCTGTTGGGCGTCACTATCGGCACGTCGTACAGCGATATGCTACCGTCCGGACTGTTTTTCACAACACCTGGTACGACAGACGGTCAGTTATTATTTCGATCTGTGACACTATCTCGTGCACGGGAATACGCGAACGTCCGTTTAAAAGCGTTCGCCTCCCCGACATACACGACAAACTAGGTCGGCGAGTGCCCTAAGCTCAGCACCGGATTACGGGGGCGAGTGAGTACGTTTTGCCCCTGGCGCTGTTGGTATAAAGGTGCTGTTGAGCTAATGAAAAATAAAAAAAAAAAAACCACGAACACACACCGTACTCTCACGTGCGCGAGGGCGTTACATTTTTTCATTAGCGTCGAATTTCCTAGATCCGGCACTGCGTAACTCTGTTGAACTGTCCTCCTGTACCTCCGTAATGTGCAGCGTATAGCAATTTTTTGGGCTACCAATGCGTGTGCATCGGTTTTATGCGACTTCAACTCTCATCACACGTTATCGACCTGGTTCGTTGTATGTATCCACTGTTCTTCGACCACACTTTCTCACGTCCGAACTTTCCCTCCCTACGCACCACCAGATCAGTCGCTCTGAAATATTTCCCCCCCCCCCAGTCCGTTGGCCATTTTTGCGCCGCACCGTTTTCACCTATAGATCTGCAGAACGGAATCGATTTCGTTATTTTTAGATTTGTCTAAACGTTCGGTTTTAAGAGTTTCACACGCCCGTAACGACACACCGGAACGTCGTACAGGTGTATGGTCTGTCAACTAATTACTACTAATGTAATAATTCGGTTTGCGCACGATACACCGACGAAAACAACCGGTTGACTCGTCGTCACGAACGTTGCTATCCCGGATTAGCGAGCAAACAACACGTAAAAGACCATCTATAACCCGTTTCACGTGGGTCTTTCCGGATGTGTTACTAACACATCCGTTATACCCGCTGGGTAAAGTGCGTAACGCGTTGTTTCGTACCTCTGATCACGAGTTGTCCGTCTTTGCTGTAGTGCAGTTTCGACAACGTCTTGTGCATTTTGCTGTTGGCTAAACCGTTCCTGCGGTATTTACACTTGCTGACGTCGTTGAACACGTCCAGCATTACGCCCACTCTGTACGTGTAACCAGCTAACTCGACGATTTCCTAAAAAAAAAAAAAAAAACGACGAACAAAATGAATAGGTTTCGCGCAGAACAACGCGTCGTAACCGAATAAAAAAATCGACATTTGCCGCGTCGCGCACGACGACAGTGCATTGCGACAATAGCGTTGTGTGCGCGCATCGCGGCCGTCTGCCATACCTTGTACGAAGTCATTAATCTCTCGACTGCGTCGGCCCCCGAAGCCAGTAGATTCCTAGCTGTGGTCAGGTACTGAGTCCGCTCGCTCACTCCTCCGTCTGGCGAGTCGTTGAGTTCTAAAAACGACGAATCGAAATCGTGTTATTTTTTCATTTTTTTTTTTTTTTTTTTTTTTTATTATTACACGCGTGAATCAGAACTTCGATGCAATAGTAATTGAAACCCGAATGATGGTTGTTCAGCCAATGTTTTAGCATAGATAAAAACGTGTACCGATAACGTATAAATCTAAATGAATTATATTATTTATCTTATTTTTAAACTAGACCGTTTTCTTATAAGGTCGTTTTCATAGTGTTTCTCTTCGAAGTGAAAAACACTGTTTCACCAGAGATAATGAACGTTGACAACGAACATTTCGATAGGTATTGAAAAATCGGTCTCGAAACTTCGAACTCACAGTAACAAACAAAGTGTTCGTTTATTTCATAATTAATAAATTCAATTTTTACCTTTTAGATAATCAGTACAAATTTTTAGAACATCAACATACCGACTGCTGTTTTAATAGTTGATACCTTAAAATTAATACGCATTGCTCTACTTTGTTTTTATTTTCATAGAGTAATAACGTAAGCGACAAAAACGTTAAACGAATAAAATGTAAGTTGGTTTATAACCTAGATTTAAATTTTTTTTTATTTACTTAGCGTTGTGAATGTCACTCCGCGTTGCGGATCATTTTGAAACGATCGTACTTAATGTCACTCGAAACCATACAAGTACTTTAATAATACATTTTATATCCGAGGCTCACGCGATATATTTGTTCCCGCGTGCGGTTAACATGTACAAGGTGTCCCTCGAATGAATATTGATAACAAAACTAACTCAACAATATTCATATCTTCGTTGGACACCCAGTATATACGTATATACGTACATATAGGTTAACTTCACTCGCAATGCAATTGTTTTCATATTTAATTCCAACAGCATGCAATCCTATTATTGTATTATGCTTGTTGGTAAACGTCACCTGCCACTCTCGAGCTCATTATTATCGGTAACGACACGACCACCATTCCCGTTCCGCTCCATACATATTTCATGAGAAACTGTTCCAGGACAACGTACCACAACCTCTGCGAGAATATCGAGTTCATGTGTTGCACTAACGATTGATAAGCGTCTTGCAAATGGATCATTTCCACCTGAAAACCAAAACTGTGTTTATTATTGTGATCGAAAAGCGTGCGTTATAGTCACAGTTGTAATTATAAACACCGGTGAAGTGCAGCAGGCGCGAGTCGTAAATTTTTTTCGAAGGATACATAATAATTATAATAAATATGTTACAGTACTGAATCAATAAAGTTTTTTTACTCCAATTTGTAGAAGTAATTATTTCAAATATTACCGGAATACGATTGCATATATTTTTAATTTGTGACCCAATGAAAATTCCTTAAAAAAAACGTACTGACTTTCAATGTTGTCAAAATCGTATTGTTTCCATTGGGCCATAAAGAGTTAAGCTTAATTATGATTTTCGTTGGACGATCTGAAAATCCAGTGGTATAAAATGAAGGAGATGCAAACGTTAACTTGGTAATGTTAAGTGAATCTGGATTACCGAGAGAGATTATCATAATGAATAACCATGATTATGGCGACAAGCATATCAATACTACAAATCGATATCGATATCGATAATGATTGGTGAAAGACAAAAGGAGCTGAGCGACATTTTAGTAATCATTTATTAATAATTAATAACCAATCGATAGTCAAAATGTCGTTCGATTGCACAAGCGCCAGTGTTTCTTTTGACAACTGAATAATGATTTACTTAACCTACACATATTTGTACGAGCGGTGTTTATAAATAGTAACGTTACAGTAGTAGGAGCCAAGCGCCGTTTTTTAGGTATCTACAAGCAACATTATTGAAAAACGTATTTCATATAATCAACACAGTAAAATGTGATAAGCGGTAGCGATAAGGACTAAGTCAACAAACGCCATAAGTTTGCCGAAAACTATTTCAATTAATGTCACTTATAGGCGCACATCTTTTTGAAGGCTCAAAGTTTTTAAAAAAATTATAAAGACCTACATTATTTAAAAAAAAACACACATTACAGGATAAAATAGACGACTTTAAGTCATAACTGTACAAAAGACATATGATTATTTGACATGGTTGAGGTTGTTACATCAATTGGTCGCTAGTATCATATTGGCAATAGGATAATCTAGACAAATGTTTTTAAACTTAAATCCATGTCCCCTTTCCTTAAAATGTATGACGTTATGCTAGGGTGACCAGACGTCCCGTTTAAAAGGGATTGTCCCTTTTTTGATCATTACGTCCCGTTGTTCCGACAAACTTCGAATAGGACGATTTTTATCCTATTTTTAAAAGATTGTCTCGTTTTAATCCCGTTATTACCATATTATTTATTATATAAATTATTAATGCTTGTAAATAAAATGTATGAAAAAATTTAAAACAGTTTTACTTGTATATTTAAAATGTGAAACCAAAATAAGAAATAACAGATAAAAGTTTTCGTGGAACGAGCGTTAAGTCCCGATGCCGACGAACTATAAAATTACCGATTTAATAATTTAATAATAATTAAAAGAAAATATTTTATTATTTGGGTTATTTTACTAAAAAAAGGTAAAGTGAAAAGAAAATAATTGTTTATGATATGACAGAGATTTGGATTTAAGCTCTCGAAATTTGTGTGCATATGTGTGAATGTATATGGATGAGGTTTTTTATTTGGAGAGGGGAAGTAACAGCATTCCCGTTTTTTTTATTTTCTTAATATAGTCATCCTATTTTATGCTCCCTCTCGTCATTAAAATATTGCAGTATAATGATCGTATTGATCATTAAATAACCAACATTTGAATGAATTTATTTGTTGAGAAAAAAAATGCGATTACAATTTAAAATTTTTAAAACAAAGTGTATATAATATTATAACATTTTAAAATATTAAACTTTAAACTTATTACTATTAAATATAAATTAATCAGAAGCGCTATTTAGCTTTAATTATATTTTAAATACAATTTCAATAAAATTTAATAAAATAAAAATGCCTTTTCTGAAATTTTGCCAAGTTAGTATTCCTTCTAAGGAGGCGTGTTCTCCAGGTTGATAATTTTATTAAATTGTGTTATTTATGTTTTGTACATTTTAACTGTTGCTAAAATAATATTATGTTAATTGGGTGGGGGTGGGGTAAGACCTATTGTCCCCTCTCTTTAAGCCCACCACTGATTCTAAGTAAGTCGTTCACGCCATACTCGTATAACGTTTCTGTTTGTAAATATCACTTGAAATGTGTTAATTTATTAAACATATTATTATTAAACGGTCAAGGAAACACTGGCGCGGTTGTGCGATCAAATGTTTCAACTTGCTCCGTAGTGTAAATTGTGTCGCTTAGTTCCTAATGTTGTTCAGTTCATTTTGCCTTTTACCAATCAATATCGTTAGACAACACTGTTGTTATGTGAACGCGACAATATCGAACCATATTAAATTATCTCACCATCCGTTAACGGGTTAAAACAGTAACATTATTTTTGCAATATTGCAGTGTTAATATTGTTATTATTATTTGAATAAGGACATGTTTGTTCCGATAAACATTGTACACAAGTATTGATTATCGATTTACTTTATGACCGCCATAGAACGCGATTTCTTCGGCGTTCGTGATGACTCTGGAGTGGATATGTCGAAGGTACGCCTTCCTGTCAGCTTCTACGGCTACTAAGGAACCGAATTTCGGTGACAGCATTCGTAGTATTTGTCCAGTGATACTAATGACAACGATGGCCAACAGAGGTCCTGAAATGAATTCGAAAACAAAATATTTTGATTAAAACTTAATATTCTTTGGAAACAAAATAAAAATCAAACGATGGCGGACGAAGGGGTTAGTAAACATGTTATTAATACACATGTTCTTAAAATGTTTAAACATACAAAAAAATAAAAAACATTATTTTCTCGCGTGTAAAAATGACAGTGAAGTTTAGACCAGTGGTTTTCAACCTTTTTCGGATCGTAACCCCCCATTTTTTTTTTTTTTTTTAATGTAATGCGACCCCTTTAAAAAGTATTGTTAATAATATTGTATTGTACCGATAAAATATTTACATGATAAACAATTTTGATTAATTAACACTTAAAAATTTCACAAAATAAATAATTTACTTTTATTTTTTTAAAATAATATGGAAAAACCATTTCATCCATTATTTTTAGCGACCCCCAAACCTATGATTCGCGACCCCCTTGGGAGTCACGACCCCCAGGTTAAAAACCACTGGTTTAGACAATAGACTACCAATATATTTAATAAAAATGTAAAGCATTTAAGCAAATAAATATAGTATTATCAATAAACATAAAAAATTTACACCATAACACCGTTCCACGGAACTAATTAACTAATTGACGGGTGTTACGTTAAAAGTTATCTTAAATAAACGATTCTCAATGAGAAAAATTGAAAATTAAATGAAACGAATGGTTTTTTTTCATGATATATTATATATTTATTATTTTTACCACACAGGCGTATGTATAGAAATATAATATACCACCCATAACTTTGAAATTTCACATTTACCCATATGAACATTTATAGCCGAGTAATTGTTTTTCCTAATTTGATAATACATGCGAGAAATATAATGCGACTTTTCAATCATTTCCTTTTCAACGTTGTTACAATATTAAAGAGGAAAAACCTCTCTTAACACAGCATTGAGAATGTTTAAGTGGGTCTAGATATTATTCTATGCACAAAAGAGAGCCTCTGGTACTACAGGTATAAAGGAAAACCCTGTAGTCACGGTTGAAATCTTAATATTATACTGATTACAACGAACTGTCCAAAATGTATATTATTTTCCTGGTCTCCAAAAATAACACAAGACCATGAGGACTATCGAATACCCACATAAACTACAAATAATAATATGATGTAGGTATACATCATATACAAGTGTATACTATATAACATATTATACGTTGTACACAGAAATATTGCGGATACATGCGATTGCCTTCTCTACGTTCAAATTTCTCTATTTGTTAAGCGTTTTCGTTCATGCTGTTTCCTTCAAAACTATAGTAAGTTTACTCATATTTTAGTATATAGGATGATTGAATTAATGAGGAAAATTTTAAATTGGAATTCTATATGATTTCATCTGCAAAAATTGAAAATCATTATTAAAAAAATTATCGTTTAGTCAATAATAATGTTACGGGCAATATAGAATACCGGGTAATGTACACACTGCTCGAGTGATTTGATCCTGCCGGGACAATCTGAACTTCGAATATAAATAATTAATTGCTAAACTTATAATAACATACTGCAAAATATTTAACTTATAATTTTATTATAATACAGAACGAAGTATAAAATATCAATATATCTTACTCACTATTTACATAATTCTATGTTATATTTATTATTTTCCCATATCACATCGATAAAATTAATAGCTATGCCGTTACAATCAGACAATAATATATGAAAAATAATTGATGTTTACGATTAAGCAGTCGAGTTTCGGTGACTTTCAAGACACTTTGTACTTCATAATCATTAATTAATATTCGAGGTTCAAATTACCCGGGCAGGACCGAACCGCTCTAACAACGTGTACATTGTCCTGTATTCCATATTGCTCGTAACATATATGATTTACAATCATTTTCTATACACATGATACATCATTGCGAGATGATGTAACGGTAGCTCAACTCTATACAGTTACGATTGTACCTATACTTAAAAGATATAACCTACAACTTATGAAGCTTTCTCTTTCAGTGCATGAACACACACACACACATACTTACATATACACATTTATATATAAAACACAAACTGTTTTCTTTGGATTATCATTAGGTATTACTTTAATACATAATAAATTTATTATGTTCCGTAACGATTTTACGCCAAATGAAAACGACAGTAAATAGTTATTAAGCATACGCGTTTATTTTCATCTGGTTTAGCAACAATATTTAATAACGTATAGATGCTGTACTTTACATCATCACTTTTATAGGTTCCAGTAAGTATTAAAACGAAGAGTTTACGTTTACATTCATAAAAAAATTAAATAAAATAATAAAAGTAATGTATTTGAAATAATACATATGATTTTTATGCTGAAATGTAATTAATTAAATTTAATTTAATTTAATTAATAACAAAATAGTTAAAACGAATATTTTTTATTATCAAAACATTTTTTACTTCTAAGTAGGTATACCACATGCTCGGATATAGAAAATGTATGTTTTATAATTATGTAAACAAAACGTGTACTTTCAAACGAAAGATTTGAAAGATTTGTAGTAACTTGCCATTTGATACTCATATCTTAATAAAAGTGAATGCCCTGAAAAGTTCTCTAAACGAATTATAACATATATTTATACATTATTTTAATTGCAGCGTTTTCTTTAATTATACACTACGTCGCACGAGGTCCACGAGATTAAATTGTCTTACATTTTTGAGCAATATGAACGTATACATTTTGTCCAGTAAATTATATAGTGGATTAGGCATGTATATAGGGTAGAGCTCGGGGGCTCATTAGATACGCTATTAATTTTTCGCGCGTCTACAGTACCCGCACACAGAATGAAATCACCCCAAGCGTATTAACATCCCCGCCGAACGTCATTATATATAAGTCAAAATTGAAGCACATGTCATTATTATTTATCATACTCGATGGTCTGCACGAATACGAGGTACATAGGGCCACTCCCTAAGAACCTTTATTTTTAACAATCTGTTTTCTGTTGTTTCTAAATTATTATTACTATTTTATTATATCATTGCTGCAAATGTGTATACGCGACGTAACGTATCTTTATGACAATCATGAATCAAGGTGCGGTTAACGTATTAACAAAACCTCTAGAGTCCCAGTGCTGAACGTCGATAATCCGATATCATTGACTCGTTTGAAATTCGCGACAGTGCTATAATATTTCATTATCATTATATCTATTCTAAATTATTTACCATCATAATATCATTAAAATGCATGATATACAGTACAAAATATACTAGTATTTTATAAAGATTAAGACAATTTATATAATTAATAGTAAATACCTATATAAATAATATAATCAAGTTGTTCGGGATATTATTATAAAGTGCTAAAGTACATAATGAAATCAACAAAATAAGTGTATGATTGTTTTATACATAGATGTGTTATAATTATGCATGATAATAATATAAGGTTTTAATTAAAATAAGAAACTTATTTTAGAGGGTTATAAATAACATTTAACTATTGAGATGATAATTATTTGAAAGTATTAGAATTTAGATTTAATGGTTTCCTATACTATATACAAAAATATCTATAATAATATACTACCTATACCTATTATAGTTTTGGCCATAGAACCATTGTAAAAATAGAAAAATATAGGTTGCAAAAAAATACACACATATTTTTGGGGATTCATTAGCAGCTACATCAGCAGGATTATGCGGAAAAACTTTAGATTTGTCTTGTGTTATGGATCCAATAATATCAACAGTAAATTTTATTCGCTCGAACGCACTTAGGCATCGTCAGTTTCAAGATTTTTTGAAAGAAATAGAAACAGATTACCCAGATATACCGTATTTTACAGCAATTCGATGGCTTAGTCGCGGAAAAGTCCTATCGCAATTTTTTGAACTAAGAAATGAAATTAAAATATTTCTAATTGATAAGAATCGACTATTGCCTTTACTTACAGATAGTGAATGGGTTTGGAAATTAGCTTTTTTAGTGGATATCACAAAATATATGAACGACTTCAACCTAATATTACAAGGTAAAGATGTTCTAATTTGCGATGTTTACACATTAGTAAAAGCATTATTATATATAGTATTATACTTAATTATAGTAATATAGCATTATTATATATAGTAAAAGCAAAAACTTATTTTATTTGAAACGCAAATTTCAAAAAATTGTTTTATTCATTTTTCTACTTGTGATAAATATAACAAAGAATCAAAAACACAATTTCCAGTCGACTTCGCTCAAAAAATAATTTCTGAACTTAAAATCCAATTTAAACAAAATTTTTCTGACCTTGACGTAAAATCGGAAGAAATAAATATTTTTCGAAACCCGTTTAGTTGTGATATTGAGAAGTTACCTTCTACCCTTCAAATGGAAATGATTGATTTACACAGTAATGATGCACTGAAAATCAAACATCGTGAAGAGACTTTAGTTGATTTTTATAAATTTCTCCCAGATATACAGTATCCAAATTTAAAAAAATTTGCAATTGAATATATATCTGTATTTCCTACGACATATTTGTGCGAACAAACTTTTTCTGAAATGAAATACATTAAATTAAAATATAGATCGGCCATGACTGACAAACACTTGGAGTCAATTTTGAAAATTGGAACTAGCAACATACAACCTCGATTCGATCGAATATTAGCAGAAAAACATCAATTTCATACTTCTCATTAAAAAAAAAAATTATTAAAATTACAATGTATATATTATTATCATTTAAATTTATACCAATTATATTTAAGTATATTGTAGACAATATTTTATAAAAAGATTTAAAGTTAACTTATATTTGTATACCTATATTTTCATAAAATTAAAAATGATATGTGTTAATAAACTTTTGGCCTGCTAAGAGCATTTGATATTTTTTGTGGCCCTTCAATAAAAAAGTTTGGAGACCCCTTCATTAGCTGAATAATTGTCTGTTCGGTTTATTTACCAATTTTTTTTTCAATCAGGAGTAATGAAAAC